TTCATAACTTCAAATTTTAAACATACATATTGTGGTAAGCATATGTTTGCTCTTGTCCTGTTGCATTGCGTACAATATTTTTTCACACTCGGTTTCTAAATTGTCATTGTCTAATTCTTTCAATTTTTCTAATGCAGTCATTAATATTTCACTAATGTTTTCACGCTCTTTGACTATATTTGTATAATTTTTTGCTAATTTTTATTGAATGTTGAAGAGATTATAGGACATAGCCAATTTTTTTCTTGTTTCTTAAGGCATGACTTTATATTGTTCATCTCTATTCAACACTCCTATATGATCGTCCTTCTCAATTTTAGACCACTTATCATTGCTTGCAGGATCAATTTTTATCAAATTGGTAGTAATGGTTTTAGCTACCAAAGCTTGAGACTCTTCATATTTTTTTTCTTTTATTATTGTCGTTTATTATTTGGCTTGTTATGTCTTTTAGCCCTTTTAACTACAATGGAATGCTCCAAATCAATTGCAGCAGGGCCTCTTAGTTCCGACTGAATAGGGTCTTTTTTTTCAATGAACTAGTATTTATTAGTAATGCTCATGAACTACAGTTAACATAGGTGATTGAAGAGTGGCCTTCAACAGTTTTCCAAACCTTATTTGGCTCTCTAATAACTTTTTTACCAAAGATACTTGGCCTCTCACTTGTTTTGTTTTTCTTTTCATTAACAAATTTCATCAACTTTGATTGATCATTTAATATATGTCAGCATGCTTCACACTTGAAATTAGATTTATATCTTTCAATATATGTTGTTTAACAATATTGTCTCTGTCACTATTATTAGTGGATTGATAATGAATTCATTGCTAAAAAATGCACTAAAGAAAATTTATTAATAACTTACAAATCTACTGGGCTTCATTCTTTTTGATAATGTGGATACACTTGAACTCGCATGAATGACCATTTATTGTATTGTTATTGAATTTTTATCCATTTATTCTCACATCCTCTAGTATTTTATTATGTTATGATCTATTTACAACGTAATTGTATTCTATAAGCACAACAAAATTATCGCATATATATTTGTATAACTTTTAATTTTTTTTATCCAATACCGACTCGTGTATCCGTTGTCATGTTACACCATACGATAGTCAACTTTACATCCTCATCAATACTCCGATTCTTACTTGCATATTGGTTTGTTTCAACAGGTCTTACAACATGGTTGCCTCTTGAAGGAATACCACATTGGAAGGATGGACGGTTTGTATTGAAGAATAATGTGTTGGCATATGATGTTTGGGTCTCATGATATGGAACCTGAAGTTAATTTTCAGGTGATATACAATTTCACATATTTAGATATAACATAAGATCATTTTGATGGGGATAATACTGCAGAAGAGAGAAAGAACGATCAAAATTCAAATTACCTATATCCTGAAAATTTATATAACTTTGGTTGTGTACGAAAACTTAAGAAATAATAATAGTTTTTTAATACTATAATAGGATAGGTAAAAAATAAATTAAAGGTATTATGCAAAATTCATTAGAGTTGATAAAAATATAATTGGGTAAATAGAAAATATAGTGACAAGTTGATTATTATTTATTAAAATATAGGTAATAAAATTGTGAATGAATAAAATTATTTACTATAAATAAAATAAATATAAGTTTAACGGACAACAAAAAAAGAATAATGACATAATTTTATCCGATTAAGAGAGTATTTATTTGATTCGAAAATACATGTTGAGTCAATTTGAGCTACTATAAAAAATCGAAGTTGAGTTCTGAGGCAATAATTAGGACTTGTTACTTGTACGACACAATTCAACTAAATCAAGCACATCATCCACTTAAGAGCATATACGGTAGCTGGCTGTAATGTAGATAGCTCTGTTGCTATTTAAACTTTATTATCTAGGTCAAACAAAAAATAATGTTGAATAACCTTCATTTCGAGACTAAAAAATATAAGTATAAATAATTTTGTCTCGTACAATCCAAATATCTTCAAGCCACCTAGTAAATCTAATATTATCAAAATTATTGTGAATGATTTTCTACGCGCATATTAGTGCAACATCATTTATTAGGAATTTTTTATAACAAAACAATTGTATATGCTCTAATAAATTATCTTATTAATCAAGTAATATTAACAATTAGAAATCCTCATATACAATCTATGTGTAATCTAAAACATTCAATATACACAATTTTTTTATATACTTTCAAGCAAATAATTAAGTAAAAACATATTATATATATAAAAACAAACAAACAAAAAATTATAACTCATATTGAACAATATAAGCACAAACAAATTGCACATAAAAACAAACAAGAAAAAATAAAATTGATAAATAAGAAGAAAATTAAATGAGAAGACAAGAGAATATTTTATAAATATTTTTTAAAAAATCTTTCTAGTAAAAAATAAATTTTATTTATGATTTACCTAAGGCAGTCCCTAACTTTTGATGGCCAGGGTGAAAAAAAAAAAAAAAAAAAGAAATCCTCATGTATAAAAATAATTTTTTATCTATAATAAATTTAAATAATCAAATAAATCAATTTCTTCTAATATTTTTAGAAACAAAATTATCAATAATAGTATCAATATCTATTTTATTTATTTTTTTCAATATATAATATAGCTAAATTATTTATTCTTTTTTGAGACATAGACGATCTTAAGTAAGTTTTTTAATAATTTTAATTTTGAAAAACTTCTTTCATCTGACGCTACAGTTATGGGTACAGTTAATAATATACGATAAACAATTGAAATATTTGGATAACAATCCACAACTTTAATAAATTCAAACTTTTCTATTGGCGATTTCAAATTATCTAGTAAAATCAATCGCAAAACTTTTATTTCTGAGATAGTTTCTTTTAAGTCAATATCAGATACATTGTTATGAGAAAAAATGATTGAAAATATATTACAATATTATCTTAATTCTTTATCTTTTAAAGATTTTAGGCAAAATTGTCATAATTCCCTTATAGTTTTGAAATTCATCGTAAATCTCCCTTTTACTTTAAAAATTACATGGAACACTCTTATACTTTCAAAAACGTTGCATGAAACCACTATGTGGTTTAGAAAATCAATGTAAATCCTTACTTTACTTTTAAAAAAATCGCATAACGCCATCTTATATTTTCAAAAATACTGCATGAATCCCCCGCTATGCAAAAAATATGGATAGAAGATCATTATTCCCTCACATAACGGAGGTTTCATGGAGGTGGGGTTTCATGAAATGTGTTTTAAAGTATAGGGAAGTGCTATGCAATTTTTAAAGTATAGAAACATTTTCCTCAGATTTTCGAAACCACGTGAGTCTTATGAGCAATTTTACCAAGATTTTAATTTATGTGAATTAAATAAAAAAAATCCAAATATTTTTTTAAACATTTTTAATTGCTTAAACCTATCATTTAATGAAGTAATTGTTATATCTACCACAATTAGAAAATAATTAACTTTAAAAAATTCTTCTACTACCGATTGAACTTCTTCATTTTGATCAACATCATCCATTTTTTTTTCTAAAATTTTTATATTTAGTTGGAAAAATAAATTCAATATCCATATCAATAGCAATTTCTTTTGCAATATTCATACTAGTATAAAATCCTTTGTTTCTGTATTTTTTAAAAAATAATATAACATCTTATAATTGTTTTATAGCAGTATCAATGCAAACAAATTCATATTATAATTTTTTACATATACTATTAATGAAAAATAAAATATCATACCAAATAATCATTTCTCGTAAAAATTCATAAGATTCAATTGTATTAATCAAACTTTCTGCTTCACTTTTTGATTTAACATCATCACAAAAATTAATTAAATTTAATAAAGCTTATTTAATTTGACGACTTTAAAATCTAATAGCTTTAATATTTTTAATTTGGATTTTCCAACGGGTATTTGAAAAAAAATCTTAAAATTAAATTTGAAACATTATCAAATAAAATTTTCCATCTTTTATAGAACTTGAAAATAATGTATGTAAACGTTGAACAACTCCAAAAACTAAGTACAAGAATGTGTCATGTCACAAATACTAAGGTTAAGATTATGACAAGTACATGACATATATAATGTTCTAGGATTTATATCAAGTAATATTTTTTTAACACCTTGATGTTTACCTTTCATGTTAGAACCATTATCATAACTTTGACCTCTTATGTTATTAAAATAAAAACCTAAAGCTTCAAGTGCATTTTTTTTAATCTTTAAAAAGTCCTGAACTACTTGTATCATCTACTTTTAAAAATTTTTAAAAGTATTCTTCTATCTTGATATTTAAAAAAAAGTTAACAAAAAATCTTTTGATATAAAAAACTTGTGTTGGGCCCTATTTGTGTTGGGCCCTTGATGGACGTCCCTCTCACCCGAGCCCAGAGCTTGCCTTATTATCAAAAATTTTAAAATAAAAATAATTATTTGATATAATATTTTTTTTAAAAAAAAAATTAATCGTAAAATTCTATCGTAAACCACGAAAGAACACTACCATAGACTATACAACTATTTTTTTTTGCACATGATCGTAGACGGTAATAATAATAATAAAAAGGAATTACAAATGGAGGCATCTATATACAAAGCATTGTATATGATCTCAAATAATGGTGCAGACTTGTCAGTTGTCCCGTAGTGTGAGCCTTCTTTGATCTCCGGTAACTACGCCTGTAAATGCTTCACCTTTCTAGCGCTCCGGTGGAGGCTGTGAAAGGCTCTGGAACACGTCAGAGGCCTTGTAAGGAATGAAATAGCGAAGACGATGGCGGAATGGAGCACTCTGCTGGCTGGCCGGCGAGACCGGGAGAGTTTCCGGCGAACTCTGCGGCAAAATCAGCTCCGCCGGAGAAACTTTTGAAACGGCAAGGGTATACATGTCATTCACACCATACACACAGTGGAATGCTACTGTCACTCGATAAGATATTTAAATAAATATAATAAATAAATAAATAAATGAGAATTAAAATCAACTGCCATCTTTTACGGTTTCAACTTTCAACCTAAATTCGGGTGCGATTTCTCCGGTGAGAAGCTATGGCGAGGAGACCTGACGACGAGTACGATTACTTGTTTAAGGTTGTGTTGATTGGAGATTCCGGCGTCGGAAAATCCAATCTGCTTTCCAGATTCACCCGCAACGAGTTCTGCTTGGAGTCAAAATCCACCATCGGCGTCGAATTCGCCACCCGTACGCTTCAGGTTCGATTTCTCGTTTACTATTCTCTGCTGTACCATTCGAGCATTTGTAGACTGGAGGATTTGTTGTGAGATAGGAAAAAAGACGATGCTTTATGTGCTGCAAATGAGAATGTGTGGAAGGATCCGAATTAGGATGTGGAGGAAATTTGATGTTGAGTTTAAGTTGTTTCGATGGAAGAGTTGAAATGTTATGCTGTCGTGGGATCGGTAATGGTTGGTGGAAAAAAAAATCAGATTTGACGAGCTTGATTAGTTCTCTAGTCCACTTCGGAATTGATTTGTTGTAGGTGGTAGTTGCTCTCAGCTACTCTTCTGTAAACTTGAGTTAATTGTCGAACTTCATGGAGTCTTTGTGCTGTGTATGGGATGCAAAATTCTTGATCTGTTGTTCAGTAAGTTTGCGGTGATGGATTTTGTGATATCATGAACTGTTTATTAATTCGGTAGCAAATTATGGGTTGTCCTTTTCTGGATCCACTTGATCACTTCATAATAGTGTAGTGAATTTTGATATTCAAATTCAGAATTTTCTCTAAGATTTCTTGTATAAATGGAAGTTGAGGACACATCCTACATACTATAATGCAATGATTTGACTGACCATTCGGATTTTTTGGCATATCCATTTGGTAAGCTCTTTGGAATGGCTAGGGTTGGAGAGAATTAGTGTGTTTTTGCCTTTTATTTTTTTAAGCACGTCTTGGATTTTGCTTGATTGTTTCTGTATAAAGGATGGCGAGGAAAGAGCCTCAAAGTAGAATAGATAAAGTGTTAGTTAGATTTGGGATATTAGGGGAGCAGAGATAAATGGATAGGCAAAGTGATATCTTTTTGGTGCTTAGTGTGTGTGTGTGTATGATACCCATTAATTATCTGCCTTGGTTTTATTTGTACACCTTAGATTCTAAGGTTTGATATCATGCTTTGGAAATGTGACAAAAATCATATGCTTTAGGCAAAAAGTTGTGGTTATGGATCATGTTTTCTCTTTTTATTTATTCTATTAGGATTAATAATCTTCATCCCTACGTGTATGATATTTACTATCAATTAGAATTTTGGCAGACTATTCAATGTCATCTAAAATTTATTTAGATTTAATCTATCATCCATACGCTAAATGAAAATAGCTTAACAGTTCTGCAATAGACAATTATATACAAATTCTTTCTTGCAATTCATGAATAGCCTCTGCAAAGTAAGTCCAGTATCTTCAGAGTGTGAATTTCAACTGTTTAGTATAAAAACAGTTTGAAATACTCGACTTTCTGAAACTTCTCTTTAGCATTTGATTTAGTAGGGGAAGGATGATGTTGAACCCATGGTGTCTTAAGGCATGAGGTTTTATATTAAGAATCTTGTAAATTTTTTGAAGATCTGAATTCCCCCTTTGTGGGAAGTTCGCAACAACCCAAATTCTATATATTTTAGCTCAATTCTAGATAGTTTCCATGTTGTTATTCTCTCATATTTCAATTTCTTTATTTTAAGCTTTGGATTATACACATGTTTTGTTCCTAAATTTCAAAGATTGTTCGGTACATGGAATAAGTCTACTACGTCCGTATGTGAATTCTTGTTTGCTCGCATCTCACTTTCCTATCATACTACTTTGGTTAAGAAATAAATTTATTGTTGAATTAAATTTGTATGTCACAATTAGGTCGAGGGAAGAACTGTGAAGGCTCAGATATGGGACACTGCAGGCCAAGAAAGATACCGAGCTATAACAAGTGCATACTACCGTGGTGCCCTCGGAGCTCTTCTTGTATACGATGTGACAAAGCCAACCACATTTGAGAATGTAAGCCGGTGGCTGAAGGAGCTGAGGGACCATGCGGACTCCAACATTGTCATTATGCTCATAGGAAACAAAACTGATCTAAAACATCTTAGAGCCGTCGCCTCAGAGGATGCCCAAACTTTTTCTGAAAAAGAAGGGCTTTCATTCATAGAAACATCTGCCCTTGAAGCCACCAACGTGGAGAAGGCTTTCCAGACTATCCTGTCGGAGATCTATAGGATCATCAGCAAGAAATCTCTCTCGTCAAACGAACCTGCTTCTTCTAACATCAAAGAAGGACAGACCCTCGTAGTCGGGCCTCAAGAGACCACCAACACCAAGAAAGCTTGTTGTGCTACATCCTAGAAGTTCTCGCTCTTGATTCCACACCTTCCCCAGAGTACGAATCTCTCTTTCTAAGCTGCTTTTTTTTTTTTTTTTTTTTTTTTCTATATATATATATATCTATATTTCGAATTTTTGCATTGTTTTCTTGCTTAGACATTGTTAATGCCTGAGTTCATCTATTATCATCAATTCTGTGCTCTGAATCAAATCGATGGAAGTTATTTATTTAAACTATTTTAGATATATGCTCGAGTTTGTAAGAAATCAATATGCTCATTGTTTGGTATGGTTATGAATTGCAAAGTTTTAAAGGGAAGCTGTTGAAAAATGGAGTGTGTTTGCTCCTATTTTGGGATTTTGGGATATTTTAGAAATCAGAAAAGTTTGAACTAAAAATAGACCATAGATCATAGATGTGACGTCTTAAACACAATAAATTTGTGTTTGGAATAGAAAAATGTGTTATAGTTATAATATCTTTAATACGAAATAGATGCTCAATAGTATTGTTTTGGGAGAAAAATTTATTGTACATTATAATGAATAATGCAAATAGGAATTGAAAATACAAGCAAACACACCCAAGGCTTCTCATTTATTTTGTGATATCAGAAATTTCATTATTAATTATGGGCAGTCACAAAATACACACATGCATTTAAATACTTGTGATTGATCTTGTAATCTCATCTTATTTAAAAGTACATCCTACATTTGTCAATCTTCATGTATATTAAATGTTCAAGAAATTGAAGTAAAGATAGTGTGTATATATATGATGACAAAAATGTGCACAATGATCAAGTGGCCTTTTCTACTAATGGGCAAAATGGTTTGTCCAAATGATCCCTATGACTTGGGATCACAAAATGCCTTAGTCTCCCCTCTTGCTTCTTCATGTATCCTTCACAAAGGAATTCCCTAGAAAACTTATCCTCAACCTCTCTATTTACATCATGCACAAAAACATGAGTCTCTCCTCCGCCGCCGTCGCGATTCCGGGCGATCATACCCGCGGTGTATATGGCGGCCATCCGCCCGGGGGCCTCCTCGTAGTACCCGGTGGGCGCATCGACCATGATCAAGTCCCATTGCGTCTCGTACACGTCGCGAGGCAAGCCCTTCAATGCGAGAGCGCAGATCGAGTGCCTCAGGTCGGAGATCGCGACGCATTCGGGGGATTTACCCGATTCGATCAAAGCATTGGCTTGACTCACTTTAGTGTCGTAGCTAACGTGGCGCGACTCTAGCATGGGGAACCGTCTCTTGATTTGCTCGATCCACGCCTCGTCCTCCTCGAGGAAGAGTGTGCGCCCGCCGTGGTTGAGCGAGTGCCACATGAGGCTATCGTGACCGAGCCCGAACACCAAAAAGTTGCACGGGGATTTCTTGTCGAGGACCTTTGAGGTCACTGATATCTCCTTCAACGTTTGTTGGGGCGTGATGGTTGAGGTCGCGTAGTGGATTATTGCCTCGGATAGGGATGTCGGGATTTTGGCGCAATCTAGAGAACAATCTTTGCTTTTGTTGGTACTCCGAGGAGGAGGATTAATGTCGATAACTTGGGTCGAAGTCGACAAAATTATCGATCGAAGAATGAAGAGGAGGAAAGAAGATATGAGGACAATGATGAGGAGAAGCTTTGGATTAATGGAGTTTGGTGATTTGGGTCTCATCATCTTTCTTGGTTTTGCTATATGAAATGTTCTAAGTGTTTATAAGTGTGTGTGTGTTTGTTTTGTAGCTATTCTTTGAGTTAAAGAGAAGTTTGATTTGTTGGTGTAAGAATGAAGAAGAAGATGAATTATGGATGAAGCAAGACATGATTTGGTTTGGTGGTGGAACAAATGTTTGGTGGCCATGAGATAATGATGGGGTTTTAGGAACTAATTATGTAATTAAATATATGTTTGAAGCAATTAGTAATCTTAAAAAAAAAAAAAAAAAAAAAGAAATCTTGACCGATATAAATATTACTCTCTCCGTCCGTGTTCATTTCACTGTTTATGTTCGTCTAAGATGTAATTTTTATTTTTTGAAAAATAATTAAACACCATAATCTTGTTTTAAATTTTTTTTATTTATAAAGTTTTTTATTTTAATTAGATTAATTAGTTATCTTAATTTTAATTTATAATTATTTATTTTTACTAATACATTTTAATTATTTACTAATTATATTTATCATAAATTTTCGTGTCAACGGTAACAAAATATTATAAGTGGGACGAGGAAGTATGATCTAATTATAGCTTCTAAAAGCTTTAAAATGCATATATAATTAATTTATGGATTAATGAGAATGATGAATATATGGTGTAAATTTGGAATTGATGCATAAGAAATTTGGCAGTAGTTGAATTATAAAAAAGTAGAACAAATTCATTAGATGATATTTTTTAAATAAATAAATAATTTTAGTATTATATTTTTTAGAAATCATAAAATGTTAAAAGTAAAAGTATGAAATCACTATTTTAACAAATATAAAAAAATCATAAATCAAATTTACATAAATTAATTAAGAATTAAGAATTAAATAATCTAATTCTCAAATTTTCTTGAGTAAACATATAGATTATATTTTAAATGAATAAGTATTGAAAATTTGGTAGGTTGTGTTTATTTGTAAGTTTTGGATTACATGTTTGTATTCATAAAAATTTTTCCTAGAAAATCCAATAAAATATATTTATTTTTATTTTTCATATTATATAAAAATTAATTTAATATTCAAAATAATATATAATATCTATTTTATATAACATCAATAATTATTTTGAAACAAAATTTTATTATTTAAAATTTGTCAAACTCAACTCAAATCTACAACCAAACAAACACAAGCGAGATTAAATGAAATAAATTGATTTCATATTTTAGAAGTGAAACAATAATTAGATTATAAATGTCTGAATATATATATATATTTTTTAACACACACAAATTGCAAACAAATTTCTAGAATCTCAATTTATAAATCTCTAAAATTACAAATGTATTATTTTTCTTATATTTACCCTAAAAAACTAATAAAATTTGTAATTTTACTTTTTTTTTTTAGGCTAAATATACGGAAAAAAATGAATATATTTGTAATTTTAGATGTTTAGAAATTAAAATTCTAAAATTTGTTTACAATTTGGCTACATTTAAACCATGCGAAAATTTGATGCACTTCTAAAAATATATGAGATTTGAGCGCAATTTAAGATAGATTATTAATATTGTTGTTATTATTACCAAAATGGAACATTACTTTAGTAATTGCAATTAAAAAGTCAAATCACATTACATTATACAGTTATTAATTTCTTCACCAAAAAAGCCTTGAACCCCTTCTTCCTTCCTTCCTTCCTCCCTACCCATCATCAATGGATCCTCACTTCACTTCAGTTCCACACTAATTTCTTTACCTTAAAACAACACAAAAGACTTACAGCATGGACTCACACATCCATGGATCAACAACATCTCCAACGCCATCTCATCAAATCGAATTCTACATACATATAGATGGATAGAGATTCATCGAATGTACCTTCGAGTAAAGTTCGAGCCTGATCCTCCTCTGTTCATCATTCACTGTGCTCGTTGTTTCTTGTTCACAACAGCTTTCCGAACGGCGATCTGGATCCGTTTCTCGTGCTCCTTCAACATATCCTCCACGCTCTCTCCCCCAGTCAGCAATGGCCCCGAGTAGTGCATCGCATCCTTCTTCGAGATATAATTTTCCTTGCGGATCACCACTGTCGCATTGGACGAATCAGGGCCGTTGATCAGCTCATATCTGGCACGCGGGCATCGATCCAGCCAACGTCCATGCACAACAGTGTCTCCACCTGACAGGTAAGAAGCCGCCGCCTGCGGCTTGAACGATCTCTGAGTCTTTAATTCCCGGAAAATCGAGGAATCCAATACCCGGTGAGTGTTGAGGTGAAGACCCTTGTCCACGTGCAGCGAGTTTCCAGAAGCGCATCGAAGCCTCGAGTTGAAGGAATGAGAGTTTTCTCCAAAAGGTTCATCGCCATTGCTCTTGAGATTCGATTGGTCTTTACGTTTCTGCATTCGTAAAATATAGAATTAAGCTAGAAAAGTGCTCGGCTTTTGTGTGTACAAGTAAATGGAACAAACTTGTGACAAGATTTCAGCATTCGTGTGATGTCCCGGAGCAGCTTTGGAATCTTTCGCGCCCTTCCCTGAATGCTTGACTCCATCGCCCTTTCCACCAGCTGCCCTCCTCTGTCTGGTTTTTTGTCGAAAGAAAAAGACAAAAAAATGTCGGGATAAACCATAACCATGCACAAAACAATAAAGAGGTATGTATGTATGTACCTCCTCGCCTCCATTTCTCGCATTTTGATATTAATCTCTTTACTAGGCGGACATTTTGGCAACGATGAAGGATCACAAGGTAGAGGAGTCGTCTTGAAGAACTGAAACAAAGCAACTAGCGATTAGACAAGTTTTCGTAATATAGCCGTAGTCATAATGCCTTACAGTCTCTCAATCCTCTGTTTATGTCGAAATTATGTAATCGTGCGTACTTCACAAAAGATTTCTTCGAATGCACCAAAAGTGTTGCTCCAATTTTGTGTATAAATTCCATGAGATCTATATTTTTTCGCAAAGATGATGCACAGACTAAAAGCACAATAATTTCTAGCATCGAAATTATGCTGAAAACTTTATCGAATGCACAAAAACAATCTACCTCACTCTGTAATGCTGTAGTTGTCGTTCCTCTATACTCGGGCTCGAAAGCTAAGAGAGTTTCAAGAAGCGAGAGAGCTGAAGACGGCATGTCCTTAAATGTTTCAGCCACGCGTCGTTTGTAAGGTTGTTGAGGTTTGAAGACCATTGCATTCGCTAAGTTCGACCTATCCCAATATTCTTCCGATGGCGAACCACAAAGTTTGAAAATTTTGTGCAGCTGTTCTACCTGGATACAACATCAAGTGTAATTGTAGTTCAAGAAGCAGATGATCTTGCAAAAAATGCAATATACGAAGAATGCAAACCTCCGTGTATCCAGGCATGATCGGTTTTCCCACAAATAATTCAGCAAGAATGCATCCAGAGCTCCACAAATCGACAGAAACTCCATACTTTGATTCACCGAGCAAAAGCTCAGGAGGTCGGTACCACAATGTCACGACGCGGCTAGTCAGAGGCTGCTCTTGAATCACGTGGTAAAAATTTGCCAATCCGAAATCCCCAATTTTGAGATTCCCTTTGTCGTCAATGAGAAGATTCGAACCCTTAATGTCACGGTGCAACACCCCTCGACTATGAGTGTGCTCGAGCCCCCGAAGCAGCTGCTGCATAAAGCACTTGATCTGCTCGACCATCATATACAACACTCGTCAATAAAATCGTCAAAGTATCCCAAGAAATCATTGTGCCGAACATACCTGTGGTTCAGTAAACTTGACAACAGAGGCGAGCCCCGTAAGATCGTGTTCCATGTATTCAAACACGAGGTATAGATTGCCCGAGACCTTCGAATGAACCAGGCCTTCAAGCTTCATCACATTAGGATGATCCAGTCTACGCAGGATGAGGATTTCCCGAGCCATGAAACGGACGCTCTCAGGATCCATATTTACAAACCGAACCTTCTTTAGAGCAACGGTTTTTCCAGTTTCCAAGTCGCGAGCTCGGTACACGCTGCTATACGTCCCTTGACCGATCTGCCATGTTAGATAATGAATTCTAAGCAATAGAACGACGAAAATCAAACAAATATCGAAGCAATATATCATCAATCCTATAAAACAGAGCAATGATTTTAAAAACCTTATCCAACTTCTCGAAAGCATCTGCATTCCGAGGTACCCATCCTTGGATAGCTTCCCCGGCTACCGAAGCCAGCCATGAAGGCCATCCTGCAGCGACTTGTGCTCCATCCACGCCGTTGCAAACACTGAACACCCGAGAGATTTGTGGTTGCCCTGCTTCCTTCGAACCTCCTTCAAAGTTCTCGACACGCTTTTTATCTCCCTCGACATTCTTGGCCAGGGTGGAGCCAGCCCTCTTCTTCAAATGCTTCACACATACATGTTTAGAGCTAAAATTCTTTCCCCCTTTAGCATTGTTTTCGTCGGTAGCTTCCGATTTTTTTGAAGGCCTTTTAGATCCCTTCACCTTCTTTTCAACTTTCAACCCTTTGGAGCAAATGCTGCCCATCTCAAAGGGGAGCTTCAGCCGCCTGTTGTTCTTAACAGGCAGCTTAACGTACCTAAAACATAATACTATTCTATCTTTCCCGATCATTTGGAAAGCATTCTCAGCATTTGTATTCTAAACAATAGCATCATCAACAGATTGGAAATCCATAATATCGCAATTTGTTCTTGCAGACAGCAAAAATGCAAGAGAAAATTGAATAAATGTTAGCGATATGAAACCCTAGGAAAAGCTCGGGACACCGCAAATGCAAATGAATACTTCCCTGGCCGCGCAATTGGATTCTCCTAACGACTTCGAACAAGAACAATCTGCAGGAATTGGCAAACCCTAGAAAATCCAGAAATTCAGGCAATGTAGGAAGACGCAGAATCCGAGCGATTGAGGCGAAAATTGGGGTTTGGGGTGAAGAGAGAAGAGTTGGAAACAAGAAACTCGAATCAATATCGAGGATTAATTCTTGTTTGTTGTTCCCATCGAGAAGTTTGACGACCACCGATCGGATACTTGGAATCATGGGTGTCATTGAAATTGTTTTGGAGCGAAAGAGAGAAAAAATCGCAAGGATGCGGAGGATCGTTAGCTCCTTACAATGCGCATCAATCATCATCATCCAATATACGATCAAATGAATTCAGCGCAGCGCAATCATGCAAATTTTACAATGACGATTATCAGAGGTACGTAAATTACTTCGTTATCGTCAATCCTTTCACTATTATTAATAATTCTTCTGTGACTATACCCAGTGGTTTTTTTATTATTAATAATTATTTGATGGAAAAAATTATTTGAGGAATGTATTTAGATTGAGACAAAAATTAATCATTTTTTTGTTCAACAGGATCACTTATTATTTTCTTTTCCCTAATATTTATACACCTTTTAAATTTTGATACTTGATATTACTCTTTTGTCTATCCGTCGGGTAAACCCCGAGTACGCAAACTATGTATGTCTCACAGTTATGAGTCATTCCCACACCACTGAACCATCCCTTACAGGATAATTTTAATTTTTATTTTTATTTTTGTGAGCAATTTAGGTTTAAAACTAAAGATTTCTTGATACTTTGTTAAGCTTATGTTGCTTTATTTTTGTAGGAATAAAAAGATAGAATCTATTTTTGAAACAAAAACCTCATTAGCTTTAAGACCTTTGATTCCTTTTCTTTAGTTAAACTAAATTACTAAATATATATATATATATATATATACACACATAATTTTAAATTAAAAATATGAAAACATATAATATACATGCAATTTAACATAAAATAATATTTTTTATTTTCTTGACATGCTTCTGCACATTACATACATATTTTTATATCATAGCCAACTGTTTTTATATCTTTTAAATATTTAATTTCTACTTTTACTTCAAAATAATTTTATACAATATTTATCATTAATTCAATAGGACATTATTTTTGCCTGAGATTAAAAAAAAAACAAATAAATAAAAAATTAGCAATACATAATATAGAGATAAATAATACAAATATAAATATAAATAAGATATTATTATATTAATATGCATAAATATAACACATAAACTAAAAGTATGCAATATAGAGACAGACACCACATGATAAAGGACAAACAACACATTATATAAAAACAGACAATATATCCTATAAAAATATACAACATATGTTAACATAATACTAATATAAAGCACAATATAGGAACATTACAATATTTGACTATTTTTATGTCTTAATTGAAAAAGTTAAAATAATGTTGATTTGCTCGTTCAATATTTTAATAATTTTGTAATTCAAAATATTATATTTTCTCTAAAGCTCACAAAAAATAAGGATATTTCAAAAATTCAGTATGAAAAATCGTATTTGAGCTTAAAAATGGGTTCGAAAATTTTTCGGACTGTACCTAACCCAGTACGATTAGAAACCGCGCCATGACTCGGACCTTTTTTTGTAGTTATTTATATTTATAATTTATACCTTTATCATTTTTATTATTTATTATTTATGGACCTTTTTTTTACAATTTTTATCTGTATTTTATCTTTCAATTTACACTAAATTTCAACTCACTTATGATTTTGTTAATTATAGCTATATTGATGTTATTTTGATTGAAAATATATTACTATTTTTATTATTAACATTTTAAATTTTCGTAAACTTAATATTTAATATCTTAATTTATAATTATATTTTATTATATAACCTATAAATAAAATAATCAATATGCAAATATATTTTATAAAATAAAACAGTTGGCTCCGAACCCAGTAGATTCAAAATAGGGCAAATTTTAGGGTAGGGTTGAGCCGGATCGGACGGGTTCTGGGCCGTTAATTTTCTGGTAGGGCAAGTTATGGGGTTTGCAAAATTCATCTTAAATGCACCTAGGTGTCATTCCTAAATAGTACTTCGTCCGTCTCAATTTAAATTATTCGTTTTATCATTTTTTTATCTTATTTTAAAATATTTTTTTCTATTTTTTTACAAAAAAATAATTATATACTAATACTAAAATATCCATAACTTTCAATTACTTTATATATAGAATTAAAGAGCAAAAAATATCAAAATTTCTTACATATTTTTACTAATTAATAAAATACTGTTATTTTTTAATTTATTATAAAATTCCAAAAGATCATTTGATAAAGAACGAAGGGAGTATCAAAATCAAAATATGCTTTTGCTTCCGCACTTGCGGGCTGATCCTACATGGATAATTTTAGGATATGCTTCTTTGGGTTTAATTGAGAAGATGTAATTTAGATTTGTATTTAAATAATGGTTGGTGAGATATGTTGTGATATTAAAATATATATATATATATATATATATTTAGAGTTTAAATAGTAAAATTTGAGAAAATTTGAATAAAAAAAAAACACATACCCTTATCGTGTGTTTGTTTTGTATAATATTTTGAAGAGATATACTCTCTCGGTCTCATATCTATTTATTTTTTTCACGGAGTTTTAGAAATATTAGTATTATATTGGGATAAAATATAAATAAAGGTAAAAAGACTAAATTAATCTTATTAGTATTGTATGATATAAATGTAATGATATTTGTGTAATATATTTAAATTGGAAGGATATTTGTAATATTAGGTAGATAGTACAATTACTAAAAAAATAAAATGGATACTTTTGTTACGAGACATAACAAAATGAAAAAATTGATAAATTGTAAGGGACTGAAAAAGTATATATATTTATGTAAAGTATAGAAAATTATGTGGAAAATATAAAAATAATAAACATGTGTAATATATTAATTCTTTTGAGAAAATATGTGAGATTTTTTACAAAAAAAAATAATAACAAAATTTTGAATTTCAATAGTTAGTTTGATGTTATTTAAATAGACATTGATGTGATATTTTGAATGTAAATTTAATTTTTAGAATATAAAATAAAATAATAAACATTTTATTTAATATTTTTTTAATAAAATAAAATAAAAATAAAATTTTCACTTTTTGTATTTCAGTTTTCTTTATTATTATTATTTTTTCTTTTTAACTCCCCATCATTCATTCTTGTTTTTTAAAGTACAATTTGGAAGTGTTTTTTATTTTTTTATTTTTTTTATCAATTTAATTTTTTTAAAAAAATTTAATATTTGAATTTTGTATTTTAAAATCACAAAATATTTTATCAAATATTATTTTAATACAAAAACACAAACTAGTTTTCTTCAAACTTGGTGTGTTTAATTATGCAGTTTTAGATTTTAACTTTAAATAGTAAATTTTTAAATTAAATTGATATGATATAAATAATATAATCTTTTGAATGTAAAATTAAATTTTAATTTAATGGTATAATAAAAAAAATTTAAATATTTAATTTAATATTTAAAAAAAATTAAAATAGTAAAATTAAAAATAAACCTAAACAAATTAAACCCTAGCCTGTAGTAGCTCACACACCTGGATGCCCTTATTTTGTGAAATTGTATGAAAAAATATTTTTCATATGAAATATAAAAAAACTGTGTAGATAATTTACAAATAGTAAAATTAAAAATAAACCAAACAAATTAAATCCTAAATCATTACTATCTTTTCTTTTTCTTTTTTATTTTTTCAAAATTTTCCAAAATTTTATACCGTATATTATTGTAACTATTATAAATTAAATTTAATAATTCATTTCTCCTTTAACAAATTATTTTTTTTTTCCATTTTATTACATTCCATAACATTATAAATATAATTTCAATTTATAATATATTATAAAAATATTATTACATTTATATCCTACAATATTAATAAAATCAATTTAATCTTTTTAACTTTAAAATTTCGTGCAAAAAAACAAATAAATAGATAAATACTGAACGGATGGAGTAATCAACAGAAAATTTGGCATCTTTTATTTCTATATGTATTTCTTATAATTCTGAATGCAATTTATAAAAGTATTCTAAAAAATGAAAAAAAAAAAAAACTATTATTACTGCCTACTAATTTCTCCATTCTATTTACTATATTTATTTAACTCTGTTCGTCTAATTTATTTTATCATTTTTTTTAAAAACAATTATACATTTTTATTTTATTTTTAATTTATAATTTTTTAAATTTTAATTAAAATTTTATTATATAATAATTATTTTTGTTAATATATTTTTAATTATTTATTAATTATATATCTCCTAAATTACAGCAAAAACGGACATAGAAAAGTGAAAGTATTAGTATACATTGGAGGGTGTGCTCTTTTGGCAAATTTGTAAGAAATGTTACTGTACAATAAAATTTAATGCCAAATATAGTTTAAACCTAGTCTATATAAGATAGGTCCTTGACAGCCTATTAAAGTCATGTCTAAATAACCTGTCAGAAGATTTTGACTAATGTAAGGCTTTGTTTAGATAAAAAATTTTTGAAATTTTTGAAAATTTAAAAGTTAAAAAAAAAAAAAAAAAAAAAGGGTTAATACTTCGTTCATTCCATAATAAGATATCTATTTGAATTTTGCGTTATTATATTTAATATTAAAAATATCTATTATATTTGCATAATTTTTTTACAAATATTATTATATTTGCATAATTTTTTTACAAATATCATTATATTAGTATTATAAGATACTTATAGAAATAATTTTGTCGTTTTTTTTTTATTTGTAATATATTTTGATATAATTATTATTATTCAAAGATCAAAACACAAAAAATAAATGAATATTTTGTTACGAGACAGAGAGTATTTGATTTGATGTTTTATAAAAAAAAATATATATTTGATGTGATAATTTTTGAAAAATTTATAGCGCTAAATGAGTGAAAGAATTTTGTATAAACAAAGCCACTTCACCTGCAAAATCCTTCACAGTCCAGGAAAAAGAGGAAAGAAAAGATGAATGGTGAGGGTGGATGGAGGAGGTTAGATCATGTGTACTTTTTTAAAACTAATAATAAAAAATTTTATTTTTAATTATAATTCATAATTTTTTATAATATTTCAATTTTAATTAATTCAAATTATCATATTGATATATTAAATTTTTTATAAAATAATAATTTTTTGACATAATTATTATAAATTTTCAAACAATTTAAAAAATTTTACTTTAAAATTTTCAAAAATTTAAATTCAAAATTCAAATCTCCGAATAAAGATAACATCAGTGTGTTTAGTTGAATTTTTATATCAATATATATTTTAATAAAACATTACCCAAATTAAAGACTAAATTGCATAAAATTTATCGATAGTTTCACAAAATTGCGCAAAATTCTCCATATTTTCAAAATTGTGCAAAATTCTCCGTATTTTCAAAATTGCGTCAAACTCCCACTTGGTTTTATAAAATCTGTATCTAATCCCCTCGCCCATCCTTATTTATCAGTTTTTTACTTACACCGTCTCAAACTGGCCAATGAATTTCAAAGTACTTATTTTTAAAATCCTAAACTTATAAATATATTCATTTATAGTTTTAAAGACGGTAAAAAGAACTTTTAAAATCAATAAAAATAACTATTTTTAAATATATTTAATGTTTTTTGATATTAAATAATAAAAATAATGACTATATTTATAATTTTAAGGATTTAAAAATAAATATTATAAAACTTATTCGCATTTTGAACAGGTACAAATCAAACAACGTTAAATAAAAAAAACCGAAGAAGTTAAATGTAATTTTAAAAACATATAAAATTTAGTGCAATATCGTAAAACCACGAATGGGTTACTTTTAAATCCAATTGAAACCATAATGAAACAAATTTTATTGTTTTAAATCAAAATATTATTTAAAAGAAAAATATGTTTAAGAATATGAATATATATGTATATATATATATATGCATGTATTTTTTAAGGAATGAGTGGAATTACTGTATTGCTGCTTTACATGCTTCAAATTTCCATAGGCACAGAAGAGAGAGATGAGAATCTTTGACTAGCCAGAAATTAAGTTGTGAATAAGACAGCACAATGGTTCATCTGTGTCCCAAATCACAGAGAGAGAAGAGAATCTTTGACTAGCCAGAAATTAAGTTGTGAATAAGACAACACAATGGTTCATCTGTGTCGTCTTGATTTCGGACACAACAATGGCACCTCAAAGCTTTTTCCAGATCAACAAGACAAAGATACTTACATATGTACATATATATATGCTAAGCCTGCATGCATCTCCTTGAACCTCACTAGATCTCTCTCATCGATCCATATCTTAATCTCACACACTAAGCTAACTAACAAGTTTTGAGACACTACTTCATTCATCTGTACATCATTTTTCTCATTTGCCCAAATTTCATCAATATCGAATTTAATTTAGTGGAGCTCATCTCATGACATCAATTCAGAGTTGAGAGTCGACAGAGGTTCGTCGTTCATGGAATGGAAAAAGCATATTCATTCACATCGGGATTGGGTGGCATCGGGAAAAAATTTTGGTAATGTTCTCTTTAATCTATTTTTATTTTGAAGAATATGAGTTTAAAAAATCTTATTTTAGATTCATTTCTAGCCTTTTTAATAAATTTCGGCTTTTTTCTTATGGATTAGGTTTGTTATACATCCTCAATTTGTATTTTCTTCTGAATTATTGTTTTGTACGTAATAGGTACTTGTAATAGATTTATAGGAGAGTTAGGACTAAAATTTTTGTCAGTTTAATTTAGTTGCAATTCAGTCCTAGTATAAATTAATTGGATTGCAGACCCTACTTTATTGAACAGAAATGTTATAACTTTTTTTTTTTTTTTTGTATTTTCCATTCAAGCTCGGTTGTATATGCAACGTATACTTAAGATTGTTTAATAAATACTTTCAATTTTATAATATATACATATATATTACCTCTCGCTCTATCCCTATTATACGATTAAATACTTCCATTTAAATACCGCATACTTTATTTTGTGATTTTTTTTTAAAAAAACAGAAAGAAAACTTCACACGATTTAAGAATTGAAATTTCCCATAGTTTCCCTCACTCTTCGTCTGAGCTTTAGTTCTTCAAGCAAATATGCGCTCGCGAACTTCTCGGCAATCAAGCAGTAATGCATTCGTTCATCAAAATGGTGAGAAAAAAAAACCAACTCACAGCGATCCCCTAAGTCGAGTTCAAAGAAATAAGTGTCTGGTCAAAGCCCTTTTCGATTTTTGATTTTGTTGACAATCGAATTTTATACCATATTTTATTCGATTGTTTGGGGTAGAAGCCTTGATTCCGTATTTGTATGTCTCGGTTTGTATTTGTATGTCTCGGTTTGGTGATGAGGAGCCCTAGGTGTTCGGTGTTGTGTTTGTTCAACGGGTTTGAAATTGTTCGAATTTTTGGTCAGGAAACCCGGTTAGGTGTTCTATTTTGACACCAATTTTGGGTAATTTTATCTGTTTTATCTTTAATTTTGTTAATTTTGGAGATGTATATTTTGTTTAGTTACTCGAAGTTGCATATTTTAGTTTTTTTGTTTGATTGTTCGGTAATTAGTCATATTTGTGGGTTGACAAATGCGGTATTATTAGGTATCAGGAGTTTCATTTGTTTGATCTAATTTTTTAAGTAATATAACTGTAGGGGACAATTGTATACTCGGAATGTGCTTTTACGTACTCCTGATAAATTGTGATAAACTTTTAATTAAATTGGAGATTTGGATAATATAGACTGATGATATTTATTTAAAAACCGAGTACAAATCAGTAATCAGCAGCTTTGCATTACCCTTTTTTCACAACGAGGTAGAGAAACTCAAGTGACACATGTTGGACGAACACATAAAAGCCATCAAAATGACTCCGTTCGGGCATTTTTTGGACTGTCCGAAGATGAAGTTTCTGTGGCACAGCCTTGTTGCCCTCGTTAATAATTTTAATTCGGAGTCTACGTAGTTCAAGATCAGAACTGACATTGAGCTGCCGTTTGAAGCTGAGGAATATTTTGTAGGCTTGGGACTACATGCGAAAGGAATTTACGTGACGGACAACACATCAGTCGAAAGTGAATGGTTTGTTCGGATTTTTGGGGGCAAGCTGCGTTCTGTAACCCGTGGCGAGGTGTTGCTGAAGCTGCGTAAGGCTCTATTGCAAGGGCTGAAGCCTTTATCAGTTGCGGATGTTGCCCGTCTCTTTATTTTTCTTGTTTTTGCAAATATTTTATTTTGTGTTGCGAATTATTCTGTACTTTTTTTTTGGTTATCGTATGTGGATGACTTGACTGCGATTGGTGACTATGCATGGGGACTGCAAGTCAACCAATATCTCTTGAAGTCTATAAACGACTTCAATTCCGGAAAGAAATATTTAAAACAGGCTGCACAGTCGGTTTGTTGGTAAGCAATGTAATATCGGTTTTGTTAATTTTGTCTACTTATTTTTGTATATTGCACAATATGTCTGTTACTATTATTGTTGGAAGTAATGAGATTATTATTATGTGCAGGCTTGGTTAAACGAAAGAGTCCCAACCTTGGACAAGGCAAGGTGCCTACCGAAGGTACCGCGGTTCTTTCGGTGGCTGAACAGCCTTGGTCTGATTTTCAGGGTTCATGCAGTGACTGAATTATCATCTCTGAAACGGTCATATATTCAGGACTTTTATCGGATAGGCACCGAAGAGAAGTTTGTTCGTGCAATCTGCCATGCTTCGGAGGTAAGTGCATTATTCAATGTTGTTACCATTGTAAATTGATAAAATAATTTCTTATATGACATTATTAACATGTGTTGCAGGAAGCAGCTCAACAAATTGCGGTATTGAAAGTGGAGCTACGGAAAAAAGACGCTACAATTGCGAAACTACTCGTAAATTGCAAAGAGCTAGATCTGGTGTTGTCGAGGAGGACAGTGAAGCTGAGTGCGAGGATGAGAGTAATGGCGACGAGGAGGGTGACGCAGAGTATGGGGATGAGACAACAAACCGGATGGATGTGGAGACAGAGAAGAAACATTTTGCAGGAGGATGAGGAAAATCAGACAAAAGAGGACTCGGAGGAAGAGAAGCATGGTGAAGAGGAAAAAAAGTAGGCCGGTGAGGAGGAGAAGGTGAAGAAGAGGAGAAACAAACTAAGGAGGAGAAGAGTCAAGCTGAGGAGGACCTCAACGAGGCAGTGGAAGAGCGAGTCAATACCGAACGACGAAACAAAAACAAAATGGACACCTTTTTGGGCCAAATTGATGCGATAAACGAGTCGGATGATAAAGGATTGGTAGCCTGCAAGAGTTTAACCAACTGATGACCATTGTACCGTATATTGCGCCGCCAGATGTCAAGGTAAGTTAATTAATATAGTAAGGTTGTGTTTGTTTGGGGGTTTGGATTTTGAGTTGGAATTTGAATAGTAGAAATTTTGAATTTGAATAGTTGTATGATGTGATATAAATAGATTTTGATGTGATGTTTTAAATGTAAAATTGATTTTTAGTATAATATAAAAAATAAAAATTAGGTGTTTGATTTGATATTTTTGGGAAAAAAAATTGAATGAATAGTGTAAATCCAATTCAATCTCCCAAACAAACACACCCTAAGTATATGTTGTAGGTCGTAGTTGTCTATATGTTGAATGATTGTTTGTTCGGTTGAAATCGTAGCAGGCCGATAAGTCCGGCAGTGAGACTTGTAGTAGGACCGCAAATTCATCGATCGTATGTGTTGTAATGGCACGTAAGGATCGGAAGAGAAAAAAAAAAAGCCAAAATTTGTGACATCAGTATCAACACCGCAAATTAAGAAAGCCAGAAAATCTAGGAGGGCTAAAGGAAAGTCAGTGGCCAACGTCAATAATGAGCATGTACGTAGTTTGATAAGAATATCAGTTGTCCGATTTAAAATATTTCGGATAGATTCTTAAATATCCTGGGTATTTGAATGAGTATTTGTAAAATAAATACTTATTTTACTTTAACATAAAAGATTTCACACAATAAATAAAATATATACTATTTTTGTAAATTTTTACTAAAATACAATAATATATTATGCAATTTATCTTAGCATATTTCTATTAAAAAATTGTGATGATTGTATATAAAATGTATCAAGAAAATTGACATTTATAATTGTTGAGTAAACAATGGCAACGTGTTATTCGTGTATATTAAGAATTTAAGATTATAAATCTAAATAAAAACCACCGCTAAATAATAATAATAATAATAAAACAAAAAAATAATTCATGAATTTAAGCAACTATATATGTATTTGTTTGATATAAATAGGTGTAGACGTGTATGATATATTAAACTTAATTTTTATTTTAATATAAAAAAATATTTAATTTGTATATTGGAAGATATATGAATATTTTTAATATAATTAATCAATTAATTGTATGAAGTGACGTGCTTTTTTACTGTATTATTGTTGCTCCTTCGTTTACCCGTGTGGTGAGCAAAAATATTTTAAATATTACGAAAGTGATAAATAACTAATAATATATTAGTAAAAATAATTAAGAATATATTAGGAAAAATAATTGCCGTATAATAAAAATATGTTTAAATTATCATAAAGATAATTAATCAGTCTAATTAAAATCAAAAAAATTTATAAATTTAAAAATTTAAAATGATAGAATAAATGAGATAAAAGAGAAATAAAAAGCTCGGACGGAAGAAGTATATGCTAAGGAGGCATAAAAAGATCGTTTGAATAAGCTTTAGAATAATACAAAATGTTTTCTTTTATAATGTCAAACTTAAATCAATACTTACAATTTTCAATAAAAATATAAAAATAGATATTTGATTTGATATTTTTTTGGGAGAAAAAAATAGGATGAATTAGAGTATTTAAAATTCAATCCCCCGCCCAAGATTTTCAGAAACTCAGCTCTGTTTCTCTATCTCAAAGACTAAACAGTGAGTTTTTCAAGAATCCAGGATAATGTTCTTGAGATCCCAAATCACTCAGACACTCTCTTCCAAGTCATGCCAGAAATGAAAGAATTAAAAACCAGATTGTAGTTACAACCTAGCCAGATGATGTATATTATAAGTAACATATATGGTCATTTCACTTAAAACTCGCGAAACTAGTTTCGACTAGATTATGTAAGAGTTGGCCTACCATAGTCGCCATTCTAGTCCTCGAAAAGATAACATTGGAACCGAAACAAAAACCATCAAAACATAAATATAATGAAATCTTATATTACTTATCTGTTACCCATACTTATAATCTTAGAGCTCAAATCTAACTTAATCATGATTATGAAGCTATCAAAAGGAGCACAAATTGGTGAATACAACCTGTAATTGTGATATAAGCAGGTCCTCACATTTTATTTAATCAATGTTTGAAAAATGGGAGCATTTCTATATAAGCAGAGTTCATATAAATATATATATATATATATAGCAACGGGGGATGCGTACCAGGATGAGAGCGGAGATATTCTACAAATTGTGAGATTCGAATAGTATGCAACTGTGAGACTGCATGTCATAAGTAGCTTGCCCAGCCTCCAAAGGAACGCCGTCTGCAGAGAAGAAACCGGGATAAGGAAGTGCTGTATCCACCAGACGAACCCAAGTGCCTGTAACAAGAGGTGGGAGAATAACTTTCTCCGGATTATCACTGCTGTTGAAGGCGAAAAATAGGTCACCGCCAGCATCCAGAGAACCAGGTATCAGCTGGCTTGATTCTGTTTGAACCTTTAAGTTCATCGCAAGAAATTTGCAAGACGGGTCATCCCAACCTGGCGGGGACTGGTCAGGCCCTTGCCATTCGATATTATCTTCCTTGAGAAAGTTTTGGTTTTGGAGAAGATCGCTTCGTCTTATTTTCAGTGAACTCAGAAATGAAATAAATTGTGTGACTTGAATGCCGAAGCCTGAAGACAATGCATTCCAGTCCAAAGGTTTCCGATCGGTGTAATCTGGAGAACCTGCACAGGATTGGCCACACTCATCTCCCATGTTGAGGACAGGCACGCCCAAAGAGACGAACAAGATGAAGAGGAAATTGCGAATCTGTTTAAGCCGCGTCTCCAGAACAATGGTTTTGTTTGTAGCGCCTTCTTCCCCACAATTCCAGCTTAGTTCTGATTCAAGATTACTGCTGCTGAAACTGACCAAGTCGACGAGAGTAAGTCCAGAGTTTCTTGTAATATAATTTAAGGAGAAAGCAGGTCCTCGGCCATGCAAGAATTTATCTCCGCTTCCACAAAGCCGTGTTGCAAGGTTGCTTATAGGGCCTTGGCCCCTCAAAAAGTTTCTTACATCGAAACAGAATTTTTCGTTCATCTCCCCCCATCTGTTCCAGTGAGGGAACATGATTTCCTTCACATCCATATTGTGTGGGTCTGATGAATCTGCTATGATCTTGACTTTGGAAAGGATTGGATCAAAGGCAATGGCTTCAACCAACGGAGGGCGAGAAAGAAGCTCTCCATGATAACCTTTCATGAGAAAAGAGGCATCGACGAAACAGAACCCATCTATGTGATATTCAACCACCCAATGGCGGAGACTCTCTAAGATAATCTGTTGGACAATCGGATAGTTACAGTTTAACATGTTTCTAGACTTAAAATCCTCTCCAGCTTTGACATGATAATAAGAAGGATTATCGATTTCTCTGAGTGCTGCATCCTCCGCAGTACGAGCGAAGACTACTTCCAAGAAAACCTCTATTCCATTTGCATGCGACTTCTTCACCATCTCTTTCATGGAATTAGAAATGGCTTTTGAGTCTCCAGAAAGCCCATAGGAGTTAGCAGGAGAGAAGAAATGCCACGGGAAATAGGGTCCCTTTTGCTTATCGAAAGGGAAAACTGGCTCCAATAAGATGGCATTGACGCCAAGATCTTTGAAATGCTGCAATTTCTCAGAAACCCCATAGAAACTTCCACCCACACCACTGAGTAACTTGCTGGACTTATCTTTTGTAAAACGTGCGACATTCAATCGATAGACAATCAGTTTCTCCATTGGAATGGTAGGACGATCTTCTCCACTCCAATCAAATGTAGGCTCCTTGCACAATTGTCCAAGGCATTTTCTAGGTAACCCCAAACCGAAGTCTTCAAGAACCTTAGCATAAGGATCCAACAAAACATGACGCATTTTACTTTCAGATTCAGTCCTGCACCGATAACCATAGCTTGCGAAGGTAGAACAATCTAATGAAGCATGCCAAATATCGCCTGTCTTATTGACATGGGGATCCAGATCGAGCTCCAAAGCAGGTTTCTCTCCCTTTCTATCTGTATAGAGACAAAGAACAACATTTTCCGCACTCCGTGACAATAAGGAAAAATTTGTGTACCCATCATCTGAAAAAGAAAGCCCCAATGGGAAAGGACGCCCAGAGAAAAAACCTACTGGCACAACGAAGTTTTCTTTCCTGTGGCTTCTGATAGTCGAACCCGAATTGGGCTTCAGTAGCATGGAGACATAGAAAGGTGCTAAACTTGTCTCAAAATCTAACTCGATGGACAACCTGCCAACAGAATCTTTCACAAAAGGAGTTTCTACAGTATTATACTTGCTATCAGCTCTTGGTGGTTGGAAATCCAGTGGCAAAAAATTGGTTGAATCACCCCTAAATATACTCCATAGCATAATTAGCTCCGCCTGTTCTTTGAAATTCTTGGAGGGCTCAACTTCAACCCGAAATACATATTTGTTGTTCTTCTTAATGATAAGTACTTTCAATTGGCCACCAATCTCCATCCAAAATCGATAAGTTGCCACATTTTCTGAGGTTTTAACAACAGAAAGGTCTGGAGTGGCCAATGCTTTCAGTGCATGGCTTTCTTCAGAGACCTTTCTCACACATTTCAAGGGATGCTCACGTACTGCTCGATGTGGAAAATCCAATTTCTGACAATCCTTTGCAACTCTGTTCCTATATTTGCCATAACTGGGAGACAACAATTTAACTGACTTAAAAGTACTGCAGTTAACGCAATGTGGTTGCATCACACATATGGCTGGAAGCATGACAATTTAGTCATAAAGACAGTATTTGATTGCAGAATCTTTGTCTTGACGGGCATATAGTAGTGAGTTGCAGTAATCTTCTGCAGAAAACAAGGATGTCAGATTGGGAGAAGGCAATGAAGTTATGCACTAGTGGGAAAGGCAATAAAAAAGCACATATAAAAGCAATGCAAACCTGCATTCTCGCTTGCAAACCAACATCCCCAGAAAATTCAAATTAATAATGAGCATATTGCAATATAGTAACTGTTCTACGAGTATAAGTAAAAAAATTACAAGAGAAGTTTCTAGTAGCAAGCTATGAGACTGGGTGGGCAACTTCTTCAAAACTAAATCACAAATTGATAAAACCCAATCCAATCCTCTCAAACTGTTTACTATAAGTAGTAATTAATTGGAGATTATCTGGGAAGGAAAAGAAATCTAAAGATATAGTTCACCCATTAGAGCCAAACTCAAAATTACAGTGTGAATAGATAGAACACCATGCTAAGTCATACTTAGATTCTTCAATGATCAGCAACAACTAGATTAAGATAAATCATACTAGAGATCTACTGCTTGCAGATTCAACAAATCAAAGAGTATTAACATATTTCACACGCACACAAAAAAATGAGTTACTTTACTCATAATCTGGAGCAGCACAGCTACTAAGGTGACTAACCCAAACCTCATTGTTGTCACTTTGCCTATGTCTCCACCATCGAAAACAAGAAAAAGAAGCATATTAGAGGTTTTGCAGCCAATGTCATCCACTCTCTGCTGATAGTTACATAAGTGAAACCACAAATAATAGATGAGCTTCCACTTTGCAGAACCACCTAAATTCCGAGTGGTACAAAACGTTGGATAAAGCAGAGGATAGGTGGTAATATCCTAATGAACAGATATCCTTGTAGATTTTCAAATAAAAATCTTCAAGCACGAAAACAAATCACTCTAAATACTATTTGACGTGCATAAATTTCATTAAGATCCACCAAACCCTGCGTGCTGTGTGTTGTTGGTGCTTTTTAACAACACACAGAGTGCAATAATCATATATGAATGTGAGAACTTTAAATCTTCCTATGATAACTCAGATTTCCGTGGAAATTTAGCCATCCTTGGAAGAAACCATAATCAATTCCTATCTGAAGTGCATCCTTAGGCAGAAACAAAACCAATTTGAAAATATGTAAATTACCATCCAAGGCAAATGTTTTCAGAGCAGAAAGTACCAGCAATTGATGGCTATTTACCACATTTATTAAACATCAATTGAAACTCATATGAATACAGCCAAAAAATAATAAAAAAAGTAGTCTTCGAATTAAATTAGATCATACGAGCAGCAAATTCATCCAATAATGCAGTCCTTCCGTCCAAATTCAGTGCACAAAACAGAACTCCTCTTTGGTCATATGAATCCTAAACCTAGGTGACTAAAACAAGATCAAAGAGCACATACAGTTAAGAAAAAGAACAGTTCTTCAATAAACTAGGATAGGAAAAATGAAGAAGGTACGACAACAAAAACGCGAATTCTCCCAACCAATGAGGACCGGATCACATTATGCTAGAACATCAGACAACTTACAATTTCGAAGTGAAGAGGCGAGTGAATTCCATAGACAAGAATCCCAACTGCGCAGTGATGAGTGAAGAAAGGTAGACGTACGTTACCGATAACGTCTCTGTCCAACCCTTTCCGCAATAAAAACCCGTAATCTATTTTTAGCAGCATCGGTCTGTGTAGAGTCTGCTCAGTATTTTGGAATTTGAATTTAAATTTGTATTTAAATAAATTATGATATTATTTTAGTCCCCCGTCCAAAAAAAATAAAATATATATTCATTTGTTTTTTTTATGTAATTTTAAAAATATTAATATTATATTGAGATATAGTATGAATAAAGTAAAAATAAAGATAATGGCATTTCTCTAATATATTATTTGTAATGTTAGGTAGGTAGTACAGCTACTTTAAAAAAATGAAATAGATAGGACGGACTAAAATAGAAAAATGAATACTTTGTTATTGGGACGGAGGGAGTATTATTTTTATATGAGTAGTGTTGTTGATATTTTAAATATTTTTAGCATTACATATCATTTGTAAAAGAATAAAATTATATATAATATAAATAAATAAATAAAATTTATTTATAATTAATTTAAAACTAATTTTATTAAAAATAAGAAATTTTAAATATACATAAAAATATTTATTTATTGAGGAGAGAAATAAAAATAAAAAAGTTTTGAGTGGTCCTTTAGAAATTAAATTAAATTGATTTATATTTGTTAAATATGTTTAAAATGAATAAATTTACTGAAAATAAAAAAAGGACGGAAGGGAGTATATTTTTAAATATATATTTCTTTATCTCATAGTCTCCATTCACTTTTTTTTATTCTATGTTAGGATGGGATCATATTTATTTTTTCATTTTTTAAATTAATTTCTTTAATTTTAATCTAAAATTATTTTATTATACAATAATTATTTTTAATAAAATATATTAATTAATAAAATATGTTTCTTTATTAATCTTTTTAATGATATATCTTTATTTTTAATAAAATTAATTTATTAAAAATATTATTTAATAAATATAAATTAATTTAATAGAATTAGTAACTCATAACATATGTCACAAAATCTTTCTATGTTTAGTCCCGTAAAAAAATGACAAAGTGACGCAGAGATGAACTCGTAATTGTAAAATCGTAGATTCAAATCTAGATATGTCTTGTCTGTCATAAATGATTAGCTAGTGTAAAATTATATATAGTTAGATTGATGTGTATCTATAAAATGATGTTAGCATAATGTTATTGGGATATTGCCACACTTGCACATAAATTAGATAATGATGATAAAACTCCAAATCATAGAATTAACAAAGATCACACACACATCTGTATGGTTGGCATGCATTGACGATGTATATAGAATAGTTTGATTTTTTTGTATATCGACGAAGCTGAATAAATATATATTTATAAGATGTTCTCAATCACTGCACGGAACCAATGCTTGTGAAATGAAAGTATTGTTTCAAAAGTATTCATAATTATAATACATATTTATATATATTTGACTTTTTCATAACAAGGAATTAAAATAACTTCGAAAAATATTATTCATAATTTCAAATTACATGAAACACAACGATATAATCATAATCTATCCATCGCTACCAAGTTCTCCAATCCTCATTCCCCGTTTTAATATGATCTCAAGCATAGAAATGAACTACCATTTTTTATATTCACTAATTAATTTTCATAGAAACTTTCTTTGATTTCTATATAATCTGTTGTTGTTACTTTCTCCATTGAATTGTCACTCAAAAACCTTACAAGATCGAATTGGCATCCCAACATCAATATTTGACTTAGAATTTTTATGTGGTTGTTGAATTTTACATCTATGGCTAGTATAGTGAATCTTTGTGTCCCAAGAGAACATCAACTATTTTGTTCAATTGTTTAGACTTTGACGCACCTTTGAACAAAATTTGTTTCGGAAACTACTTGGCCATTACGGATCCCATGGATCACATATTACATATTATCTTTGAGTCCGAAAAGTAACTCAAGTGTTATGTAGTATCTAGTATGTGTGTATTTCAGTGTTATATTTATAGAGTCGTGATAGAATGAAGCCGCATATCTTCAAAAACCTTTCTTTTGAAGCCAAAATATATATGAAGGTTTTAGATTGCATTATCCCACTATCATGAACAAACTTGACACCTTCCAACAACTTCTGCTTAACTCTTTTACTTGATTAGTAAATATTGGTCTTGTCATCGATGTCATTTGCATTTGAAGATTGTTTTTCAATTACTCCAACACAACATAATATCCATCTTTCTTATTTCTAGCGAGTCCCATAAGTACTACGAAAGAAGAATGCCCACGAAAAAACTCAAGAATATCAATTTCTTTAATAGATGTCAACCAAATGCAACAAATATCTTAGTCAACCATGAGTGTAATAACATCGATAGCAAGACCAATGTCTACTTGTGAATAAAATAGTTTATGCAACAGTTGTTGGAATGCGTCAAGTTTATTCACTATAGGGGGATAATGCATTGAGACCTAAAACTTTCAAACACTTTACTTATGAAAGAAGAGTTTCCGAAGATATGCGACTCCAGACTATCACGACTCTATAAACATAATATTGAAATGCACATATTGCAGGTCGGGAGTAGATACTACACAACACCTGAGTTGCTTCTCGGACTAAAAAATAATACGTGTGCAATCGACATGTGGTCTGTGGGATACATAATGGCCTAGCTATTTCTAAAATACGTCATATTCAAAGGTGCATCAGAGACTAAGCAACTAAGCAAAATATTTGATATTCTTGGAACACAAAATTTCAGTATACCAGACATAGATATAAATATCAACAAACAACGTTAAAGTTTTCTCAAGTTAAATATTAATGTTGGGATGCTGAAAGGGAGGCTAGTTTTGATGGAGTTTGGATTCGATCCTGAGAGAATAACAACAGATCGTTCAATCATGAATGGTTTTATAAAAATTAATTAGTGAGTATAAAATAGAATACTTCGTCGAAACCACATATAGAAATTGGATAGCTGAGAGGAAAAATATCAAAGGCGATATTGAATTTGGTGGAAATTGTTAGATTATGATGTTGACATCATTGTGTTTATGTGTAATTTGTAATTATGAAGGATGTTTTTTTGAGTTGTATTAATTTGTTATAAAAAAAAAAATTAAAAACGTATATATTGTATTATAATTTCAGATAATTTTGAAGCAATAACTTCATTTTACGTTCATGGGCTCCATGAAGTAATTAAAATCTATAGTTTTTTTGGTTTCTTCTTTGCCAACCAATTATTACAGCTTTAGCTCAAGAGGGATGAGCATTCTGATTTCCTGTTTGGATTTTACCAAATTCGAATATATTAAATGATTTAGAATTATGTTGTACAAATTAGAAAACAACACAAAGTAGAGGCAAAGACAAGAAGTTTGTTCAAACAATTATGTGAACAAACAAGTAAAGATTTGGACAACATTTCATTTGTATGTTAGTTTATTCAAATATCAACCAATAAAGAAGATAGGGGAAGAAAATTTTATCAGAAATAATCTCGATCAAACCTAAATTAATTAGATTTGATCCCGATACAAATCAACATTATAGAAAGAGCATAACATTTGTGGCAAAGTGTGTGCTGAACCAAAAACACAGGCATAGTATCCATGTGTTTCTATTTGTGATCATAGCAGAGTGAAGGCAGTGAAGTTCAGCCGCCATATACCTAGGATGGAGATGATATGCTTAGTGCATAATTGATTTTCCTTAAAATTATAATCCCGATTTGATTGTTCTTACATAGATTTGTTGGATTAGTTATTATAAAAGTTGATCGGACTATTGAGTATGATTGAAACATGTAATAAATCACACACATAAATAATAGTTTTGCACTCATAGGAGTTGGGTGTTAGGTCGACACCTCTGGTGTATGTTAACTTTGGAGATAAAAGCTAAAAAGACATATACTAGTTGGTTGGATGTGGGAGCAATTGACGTATGATTTACATATTTGATAATGATCTATTATTATGATTTTGGGAACTACCTAAAGCGACGAAGATTTTGATACTAAACAAAAAGAGGTTGCCAAGTTTGTAGCTCAATGCCAAGAATTGTGTCGATGAAAGATAAGAGATAGATGAAATAATTGAATTAACAGCCCCTGAACTTATTGAAACATATGAAGAGGCTTGTAGCAATTACAAAAATTTGAAGAAAGAGAATAGAAAAATTGCTAGAGAACTAGAAGTGTTCAAAAGCAGACAAAAGAGTTAGAACAATGACTAAAAATTGCAAAGACAAATAAATGGAGTTAGAGAAAAATAATGAGGAACTGAAAAGGCATATGGAAGATTTGAAAAATAAAAGAAGCTTGAGCTAAGAACTAAAAGAAGAATTCCATCCCTTGACAAAGGAAAAACTATACGTAAATTTTATTTTCTTGAAAAACCATATGGAGATAGAACATGTTTGGATATCTAACACAAGAAAACTACAGGTATTCAAAAGATGATGATCTACTGAAGATCAAATTGAGAGGGATCTTGATTCTAAGATTGTTGTTAATAAGGAAGAGGCGAATAGAATGAAGAATCACGGTGATTACTCATGCTTACTCAGGCTAAAAAGAATAAAAGTCGCAATTAACTCAAGAATGAAGATTACACAACTTTGGCTGCCCAAACATCTCTTAAAAGAGTTTGGTGCATGTGTCAAGAGAACAGTCTGAAACTCCAAGCAAGGTGAAGAACAAGAATTCTCTTGAACGGAAAAGAAAAACAGTTCAGAAATGTGTTCAAACATATGAACGAACAGATAATATTTAACCTTCTTCTACAGTATTTTATCGTAATCCTTGATGGATGATGGAGGTTTAGTGCTTAATCGAAGATTTCGGAATTGAAATAGAAGAATTTTGGGAGGTTTCGAAACTACCTGAAACTTACGGACGAGAGGAAGATGTGATGCCGGAGAACCTTCTGCTGCCGGCGGAAAACGACGATGGGAAGCCGGATCAATGTACTGCTCCTTCTCCTGCTTCTCTTCCTCATTCGGTGGGAGATTCTGAAATTGTGAATTTCACTTCTGTATAACTCAAAAAACATTAATACTGAAAACTATAATAATCAAAAGGCTTAAGGAAAAACCTATTCTGGAATTCAGCCGAGAGACAGACAAAATTTTCCAATCGACGGTTACTCCTCCGGCGACGGATCGATGGTGGTCTGCTCCAGCAACCAACAGCACCAGGCGCCTGGGCAGGGGCTCGTTCCGGCGATTCCAGGAGCAGCTTCCAAAGCACCAGGCAGCGGCTTATCCTCCCGACGAACAGCGGCGGCATCATCTTCCTGCTCCTGCGACTGGATCTCCTGTAGCTCCAAGCGGCGGTCATCCTCCAGGAGAGATCTCGACAGCAGCTCCGGCAGCCTGCTCCACGAACGGTTTTCTTCCTCCGTCCGGCGACGGACTCCGGCGGACAGTTCTTCCCGATCTTCTTTGTTCTTCTCTTTCCGGCGAAGCGAGTCTAAGCCTCAACGTCCACTGAACACTCTCACCGCCACCGGGGACGATTTCCACCCACCGTCTCCCTCGGCGGAACTGCTTTCTCCTCTCAGCCTCTCAAGTCTCAACTGCACAACTAACCTTCTAATCCTATTGCTCTCTATAACCTATAAGACAGACTCTACTCTCCAAACCGTCTGACAATAGCAATGGGTCGTGAAGTAGAATAGAATTGAGCGGCAAAAGGATCGGTTACGAATTTCGTTATTCTGTTGCATTTAAATTTTAGACTAAAATAATTTATTAAAACATTTAATAAAAAATTAAATATAGGGTATTTTCTGTATTAATAGAGAATTATTTTTCTAAAAAATAATACTTTCAAGCTGAACATACAAAATACTCTTTTATGATCCAAATTTATTTTTATAATTATTTTTAAATTATCATCTAAATATATTTTAGTTTTTTTTAATAAAAAAAATATTAATACAATTCGTGCCCGATTAAATAAACAGACAATTAGACAATAGAGAAAGTAGTAAAAAAGTGTAGTAGTATTATTTTTTTATAATCCTTCCATTCCTCTTGACATTTTTTTTATTTCATAAAATGACTCCGTTCTCTTAATAAAATTTACAAAATAAAAATATATTTAATAAATATAAATAACTTAATTAATTATATACGAAACTTTTCTATTTTCATATCTTTTTTCAAAAAATAAATATTTATATTTAAAATTCTATATTTATCTATATGAAATTATTTTTTCTATAAAATAATACTACATTTTTTAATTGTGATATTATTTTAAATAATATATATTTTAATTTATATTTCTTAAAAAAAAAAAAACTGAAAGGTGTGTTTGTTTGGAATTAGAATAGTAAAAAAATTTGAATTTGAATAGTTGTATGATATATATCGTATAAATAAGTATAATATGATATTATAAATATAAAAATAATTTTTAGTATAATACAATAAATAAAAAATAAATATTTAATTGGATATTTTCGAAGAATATATATATAGTACTATCTTGGTCCGGCTCTAAAGGTTTCATTATTTTTTGTGTGTTGATTTTTGAATATTAATTATCATATCAAAATATAGTACAATTAAAAAAAATACAAAAATACTTTCATTAATATCTTATAATATTAATAGAACGATATTTGTACAAAAAAAAATAAATATTTATATATATTTTTTATGAATCATAAAAGTTGAATAAAGTCTTATAATTGAAGACCTTGCCAGACTCTGTGTCTACTTAGGGTGTATTTGTTTGAAGGATTTTGGTGGATTTCCACTATTCATCCAATTTTTTTCCCCAAAAACATGAAATCAAACACCTATTTTTCATTTTTTATATTATACTAAAAATCAATTTTACATTCAAAACATCACATCAAACCCTATTTATATCACATCATACAACTATTCAAATTCAAAATTTTTACTATTAAAATCCCAACTCAAAATCCAAACCCCCAAACAAACACACCCTTATAATACTTTCATAAATTTTTACTATTTAAGATAACTTTAACGCACTGCATAGTGCAAAAATTAGGGAAAAGGGTTTCATTTTTGGAGTAATACCGTACACTGTACTCCAAAATGTAGTGGAGTGGAGTAGAGTTTGTGTACTTTTGCTATTTTTTTTTTTAGTATATTGTTTAATTTTATTTTTAAAAAAAATAATGTATAATTTTATTTTTTTAAAATAATAATTTTATTTTTTGAAAAGTGATATATAATTATATAGTTTTTTTAAAAATAATGTGTAATTATATATATTTGGGTTATATTGTAAAAATAAATTAAAATTGGAGTGTAATTTATAAATATAAAAATTTATATAAAATAAATATAAAGAAGAATATATAGAGAATATAGGTGAAAATTGAAGTTTATGATTGAAATAAAATTACTGTATAATGAGTTGGAGATGGTCTTATTCATTTTTTGGAAAGGCATTTTCGAACAAACAAAATTGAATAAAATTCATGCTCTTTGATTCAAAGATTTAATAATATTCCTTTCGTTTCATAACTAGATATTCGGTTGTTTTTTGCACGGAGTTTTAGAAATATTAGGATTATATTAAAATTTAGTAGGAATAAAGTAGAAATTGCTAAAATAATTGTGTGCATGACATTTGTCATTTGTGTGTAATATATTGTAAGTTGTAAAGTATTTGCACAAATACTATAAAAAGAAAATAAATATTTTTATTATTTGACGGACTAAAATAAAAAAATTGAATACTTTGTTTTGTTACAGGAAATATTATATTTTCGAATCCCAATAAATCTATTTTTGACTAAAAAAATAAATGCTGAAATTTAAAATAAAATTTATACTACTAATAATAAATTAGAAATTTAATTTTTTAAAATAAATAAAATTTATAAGAGAATAGTTGTCTTGTTTAAAATATAGAAAAATCTAATTCTACAACTAATATAAAAAACAAACAAAAGATTGAAAAATATAAATCCACCCAATCTTACACAAACCAAACATACAATGAGGATTCAAATCCTAAATATAAGTTCATCACATATAAATTGTGAAATCCCATCTCATAAATAAAAAAAAAAAAGTCGATTAATTAATTACGGTCTGTCGCTTTTCATAAACCCTAAAGCTAGAGCCATCCAAATCCTTTTTGCTCGAAGAAAATCCAGAGCCACCGTTGTGGGCAAGGGCAACTCTCGTGCGCGGGTTTCCTCGTTTTCTCGGTGGTTAAATTATTCCTCTGAGAATAAGGTATGGGGTCTGAGAAGAGGAAGCAGCTGGAAGAGAGTAAGGAGGAGGATTCCGAAGCTCCGCCGCTGAAGCAGCAGAGGGAGAATGGCCGTGTGGTGATGATGATGAATGAGCCCGTGGCTTGCCTGCACGACGTATCGTATCCAGAGGGTTATGTGCCCCGGCCATCGGCCACCGGCTTGATAAATCAACAGCACTCCAAGCCGGCCAAAGAATTCCCCTTTACTCTCGATCCTTTTCAGTCCGAAGCTATTAAGTGCCTCGACAATGGCGAATCCGTCATGGTAGGGTTATTTATTCTTTTTGATCACCAGAATGCTGTAAAGTTGTAGTCTTCTTTACTTCCTGCTCGATATATTTGATGCCGTTGGAATTTTGATTTCCCTGAAAACTAGTGAAAATTATATATATATATATATATCTGGAGGAGACTTTGATTTTTTCCTGTTGAGCTTCTTGTTTGAATGATTACAATATGGTTGAATGTGTGGTGGATTCGTAATGTGAAGCTGAGTTTTTTGTTGAAATGGTTTTAGGTTTCTGCCCATACCTCTGCCGGGAAGACTGTTGTGGCACTGTATGCGATAGCTATGTCGCTGCGGAACAAGCAGCGTGTTATATACACATCTCCGATCAAGGCGCTCAGCAATCAAAAGTACCGAGAGTTCAAGGAGGAGTTTTCTGATGTGGGATTGATGACAGGTGATGTCACCATTGATCCCAATGCTTCTTGCTTGGTGGGTTTGATTTTCAATTTTGTATCATGTCCAGCATTTTATGCAAATCGTATTATTGATTCAAGTCTTGGCATGACTTTTCAGGTGATGACTACGGAAATTTGGCGGAGCATGCAGTACAAAGGATCTGAGGTTGTCAGGGAGGTTGCATGGATTGTTTTTGATGAAGTGCATTACATGAGAGATAGAGAGAGAGGTGTGGTGTGGGAAGAAAGCATTGTAATGGCCCCTAAGAACTCCCGATTTGTGTTTCTCTCAGCTACTGTTCCTAATGCCAAGGAGTTCTCTGATTGGGTTGCTAAGGTGCTCTAAACGTATTTAGCAATTTTGGTTTGATAGTTAAAACTTTATATACCTCTATTAACTGTGTCTTGCTGCTTAACAAATACATAGATGAGTTTACATTTTTTTTGAGTCCCCTTGACTGGATAATGGTTGTCTTTGTTAACATCATAATTTATTAGCATTGAGGTACTGACGGGTAATTAAATAGCATCAGACACTTTACCTTGTCAATGTTTTTGGACGTAAGCGGTCCCCTGCTCCAACCATGCACCTAATATTATATGGAACAAAATTCTCATATACTGGAGGTTTTAGTCATCTGGGATCATGAAAATCTTTTTCAATTTTTGAATGGCTTCATTGACAACTAAGATCAGAAAAGAGCAGTTTAATACTTTTCACAGAAAGAATACGAGAGAGGATTACAAAAAAAAAACTGGGAAAAGGAAAAGTGTTGTGAAAGACATTTTAACATGGTTTATGTGAGAGTGTTGCATGAGATGTTGATCGTTTCTAGTTTTTACATGTTTTTTTAATTTGATTTGTGGCGTGGAGATTCCCAAATGTTTGTACACAGTTTTATTGTCTTCTCATAATCTTCTATCATTGCATTTTCTTGTTGATTTTTTTTGCTCCGGTTACCAGGCTCTGCAGTATTTGTCTAATAGATTATACATATATACAAGATTCTATAACAAAATATTGCTTTCCGCTGGCATTTATATGTGCCAGTTTATATTTTGAAATCTTTTAGCAAATTTGCTAATAACATATCATCATTTACAATACAGGTTCACCAGCAACCATGTCATATTGTTTATACTGATTATCGGCCTACACCTCTTCAGCATTATGTCTTTCCTTCTGGAGGAGAAGGTCTTTATTTAGTGGTTGATGAAAAAGGGAAGTTTCGGGAAGATAGCTTTCAGAAATCCCTAAATGCACTAATACCAACTAATGGAGACAAAAAGAAGGAGAATGGAAAATGGCAGAAAGGCTTAGTGTTGGGTAAAGCAGGTGAAGAGAGCGATATATTTAAAATGGTGAAAATGATTGTATCACGTCAATATGATCCCGTCATATGTTTCAGTTTTAGCAAAAGAGAATGTGAAGTTCTTGCTATGCAGGTAATTTCTTCTTCTCGTGATACTGGATGATGAAATCTTTGTAGCATTCAAAGCTTACCTTTTCAGATATTGTTGAACCCCTATGTTATGTTCAGAATTTGCTGAGTCCTGGATTATCCTTCTATATCATCCATCTAAAATTTAATAGTCTAGCCATTAAACTGAGTCTACAACCCTCATTCTTTTGTTTATATTGGAGTTGTTTGTGAAGTATGTTCTGTGGCACACTGTTTTTGTGACTTCACAATGTGAAGTGCAAAACATTCACTAGAAGGCGTCTAACTCTAATCTTCATTTATGATTATGACTCCTGGAGTGACCTAAATTGGTTTAATATTTTGAGTAACTCATGGGAATCATATTCTAGCATTACTCCTAGTTCTATTGATAGTAATTCATGTCAATAAAACACTAGCATTACTTATATAGGTACTGATAATAAATTTCTGCCGTGTTCTTCTTTCTTAAACTAGAGTATTGCATGTTGTACTTTGTAAACTACATTATTTCATCACTCCTGTTTTAATGATTTTATTGCTGCTCTAGAGAAAGAAATTCTGATTGGACTTGATTCTATTTAAGTTCTTACATGTTTATTTACAAATTCGGAGTTATTTGTTCATATATAGTTATATTGTCATTACAGCAGTGGAATAACAATTTTTACTTTCCAACTAGATGGCTAAACTGGACTTAAACAATGAGGACGAGAAAACTAATATTGAAACAATTTTCTGGAGTGCTATGGATATGCTATCAGATGATGATAAGAAGTTACCGCAGGTCAGTTTGTTATCGAGAAGATATTTTGTCATTGTTTCCTAATTTGTGTTCCAAACTTTAAATGTTTCTGGCACTGTTTCACTCGCTGATCATTTCCAGGTTTCAAATATGCTTCCGGTGTTGAAGCGAGGAATTGGTGTGCATCACTCTGGTTTGCTGCCCATTCTGAAAGAAGTTATTGAAATCCTGTTCCAGGAAGGACTCATCAAGGTTGGAAGAAGCTTTCCATATTCTCTACTTTGCTTGCTTGTGCTGTACTAGTGTTTCGTAATGTTGTGACCCCAAGTGGCAGATGATTGAGAATGCACAAGTGAGCTTCAGTTTGTTGAATTAGTTTTTATAGAAGTACAAGGTCATGACGAGGCATTTGATCTTACTCCCTATATTTCGATATGACTTGAGATAACTATTTTTAAAATTTCTTATAGGACACTGAAATATATATGATACTTAATTGGGGTTTATATCTGCATTTTAAATGTGAAAAGTAACCCGTTATGCATTTTTATCTGCATGCCTTATTGCATTGAGTTATTTGAGACGATTCATGTCCTATGTTGTTAAGGCCATTATGCCTCCAACATTGCTCCTTCCTATGTACCAGGAACTGATTTGATAATTTCATGTTGTAAGTTTCGGATGCATCCTTACTGATCCTTTTTCTTGTTCTTTGTCAGTGTTTGTTTGCTACTGAGACGTTCAGCATAGGTTTGAACATGCCTGCAAAAACTGTTGTTTTCACCAATGTTCGCAAATTTGATGGAGATAAGTTTAGGTGGTTATCTAGTGGGGAGTACATTCAGATGAGCGGTCGTGCTGGTCGACGTGGAATTGATGATCGTGGGATCTGTATTCTTATGGTTGATGAGAAGATAGAACCTTCTACAGCCAAGTCAATGCTGAAAGGCAGTGCAGATCCTCTGAACAGGTGACAACTCAAAAAGTTATTGATAAACTAAATTATTGATATTTTCTTACCGAAGTGGCCGAGAAGCATTTAGTATTGTTATGTAATTTGAAGAGTTCTTTTACTTTGCCTAGCATATTTTTATTTTGGTCCTAACTGGATCAATTGTTCTTATCTGATTTCTTCTAAGCATGGAATATTGAAGGCTGGCAGATTCATGTAGTACTCAGTATTGTTAAAATAGTTCCTTGTTTGTGCCCAAAACTGTTGATGTGTGTGTGCCTGGAAATGTCATTGATTTGTTTGAATTGAATACATTTAGCTGCACCTGATTAGGTAACTTCTACTGCATTGATCGAATTCTATCTGCAGCCATATAGGCACCATATAAATCTTCTCTCTCTTTGTATTATATGTGATGCCAATACAAATTTATTTGTGAAATTGGCATTGTAATTATTATTATTATTATTATTACTATTATTTCTTTTTTTTTTCTGATGGCTTACTTTATATCCAGTGCATTTCACTTGAGTTACAACATGCTTTTGAACCAAATCCGATCTGAAGATGGTGATCCTGAGAGTCTGTTAAGAAATTCTTTCTATCAGTTCCAAGCAGATCGAGCCATTCCTGATCTTGAGGTGGTCTACTTTTTTCATTTACTTATTATTATTATAATTATTATTATTATGTTAATGAGTATTAGCATGTCTCACATAATAAATGGCTTCTATTATTCTGATTGTCTTTGCAGAGACAAGCAAAGGTTCTTGAAGAGGAGAGAGATTCTATTGTTATAGATGAAGAAGATAGCATAGAAAATTATTACTCTCTGCTACAACAATATAAAGATTTGAAGAAGGATGTTCGAGACATAGTTTTTTCTCCAAAACATTGTTTGCCGTTTCTGCAGCCAGGCAGGCTTGTTTGTATTCAATGTTCGAAGAATGATGAGAGTTCCCCTCCCTTCTCTATGCATGATGAAGTTACTTGGGGAGTGATAATTAATTTTGAGAGGGTTAAAGGCGGGTCTGAAGGTGAGATGGGTGTAGTTTTATGACCTTCTATTGTTATACTATTCTTTTTATTAATCTTAAATGCTCAATTCAGATGATGCTAAGAGGAAGGTGGAAGATGCAAGCTACACTGTGGATGTCCTCACTAAGTGTAAAGTGCAGAAGGACGGAGTTTCCAGAAGAACAATCAAGACTCTTCCATTAAATGAACCTGGGGAGGCTGCTGTTGTTTCAATTTCTATTTCACAGGCAAGTCTCGATGGTTTTGTTTCAAATGCATTAGTCATTATACAGCATTCTCTGGGGTTTGCACACATTTTTTTCTTTACTTTGAAATCATCTATATAATATATATAATTCAGTTTTCTAAAAACTGTGCAAAGAATGAAGCATAGATTGATCACCTCTGTTTTATATGCTTACTATTTGCACAGACACATTATCTTTATATTTTACTGAAATCATCCTATTGTAATTATATGTTATGCATAGTGATACTGTCAAATTATATATATATTTTTCACTTTTCTTTCATTGCTTTATGCATGAAACTATGGTGACTACCATTACATCTGCTTTTCTTGTATAATAGTAAGCTTTTCTCCCCCAGCAGATTGCTTCTTTGAGCAGTATCCGGCTAATAATACCAAAAGATCTTCTTCCTCTAGAAGCTCGAGAAAATACACTGAAGAAAGTGTCCGAAGTCATCACTAGATTTGAAAAAGAAGGTGTTCCTCTTCTAGATCCTGAAGATGATTTGAAGGTATAGCACCATTAATAGGCTCCCTTCAAGGCTTTTTATCATTTTTATCTTCCTTTTGATTTGCGGATTTCAACTTTTTAGCTGGTTATCATGTTGTATATGCCATCCAGGTTCAAAGTAGCTCTTATAGGAAAGCGTCAAGAAGAATAGAAGCCCTGGAGAACCTTTTTGAAAAACACAAAATAGCCAAATCTCCACTGATAGAGCAACAGCTCAAAGTTCTGCATACGAAAAAAGAGATTATTGAAAAAATCAAATCTATAAAGAGAACATTGAGATCTTCCTCAGTCTTGGCATTCAAAGATGAACTTAAGGCCCGGAAAAGGGTACTTAGGAGACTCGGGTAAATTTCCTCATTATTGCATGCCATGATTCAGGTTTAAACTAATTGAGGCTTTCTTTGTTGTTTCAAATGTTTAGGTTGCGTAAGTCTTGAATATTGTACATTGAGTGTTACTTGTTTTCACTTTACCATCTGACGGCCAAAACTTTCCTCCTCTTTTATTTACACTGTTGCTTTTTTTACAACATTCTACTATCTGAAGGAAAATGGAATGAAGACAACCGAAACTTGAGTGACACGTGTCCCCCAAAATGAGTTGTTAATTTTTTCATTTCTCAATCCAATTGACTTTGCTGATTATCATATCATAGTTGATGGTGATCTGAAGTTATGAAAGATCAAAATCCTCATTGCCGATTATGAAAAACAGAATGGGCACCGTAACTTGTTAACAGAATCCGCTTTCGTCTCCTATGGCTTCCTGTGGTTTTGACTGTGCGGTCGAATACACTGTTCTTTATTTGCTGTCTATTTTGTTCTCTACAATGATCTATTTTCGTCAAAATGCTAATGATTTTAGAAAACATGCAGATATATTACAAGTGACGATGTTGTGGAGTTAAAGGGGAAGGTTGCGTGTGAGATCAGCAGTGCAGATGAATTAACGTTGACAGAGCTTATCTTCAGTGGACTTCTGAAGGACATAAAAGTGGAGGAGATGCTTTCAATTCTATCATGTTTTGTATGGCAAGAAAAGCTTCAGGAAGCTCAAAAGCCTCGGGATTCACTCGAGTTACTATTCACTCAATTGCAAGAAACAGCACGCAAGGTAGCCAAGGTCCAGCTCGAGTGCAAGGTACAAGCAGATCTTATCCATAGTTTTTATATATCTTATCAAAACCTTTGGCATCAAATAAACATATATATATATATACATCAAACCACATACTCCCTCCATCCCCCTTACCGTATACATTTTTCTATTTCCGTCCGTCCTATGTTACCGTATACATTTCCTTTCTTTAGTAATTTAACCTTATTATTTTACATAAATACCTTTACTTTACCATCACATTATTGTGTTTTTATAGCAGAATTATTTTTATACTACTTTAACTATTCATTTTAGTTAAAATACTATTATTTTTTAAATTCAGTGCCAAAAGTAAATGCATACTTTATGACGGGACTTTGGGGAGTATTTTCTAGCAGTGGCGAAAAACATGGAAATGCTCTGATAATCAATTCCTTCTTTATTTGAATTTAATATAGCGGTTGCAGCTGTTTTGAACCTTTTTATTTACTTATAGAGCAAACATTAACCATTTGTGATCACTTATTCTCACACCAGGTTCAGATTGATGTCGAGAATTTCGTAAGTTCTTTCAGACCAGATATTATGGAAGCTGTTTACGCCTGGGCCAAAGGGTCCAAATTCTACGAAATAATGGAAATGACACCGGTCTTCGAGGGCAGCCTTATCCGCGCAATCAGGAGATTGGAAGAAGTCCTTCAGCAGCTAATTCAAGCAGCAAAATCCATCGGCGAGACAGATCTTGAAGCGAAATTTGAGGATGCCGTTGGCAAGATCAAGAGAGACATTGTCTTCGCCGCATCATTGTACCTGTAAGCCTACATATGTTAAATGCTACGACACTTTTTGGTAATTGGGGAGCAGCCATGTTGCCGGATGCATGATCTGAGAGAATATGTGCCGGCGTGATTTAGTTTTTGCGCGTCGTAAAAAGTCACGATGCCGTGTAGATGTACATGGAGGGATTTTTGGTAACTAGGGCCCGTTCATATGCTGATATTATTATTTTTACTGGACAATGAATAGGTCATAGTCACACTTGAAATTTGCACACATTATTGTGTTGTATCTTGATTGAAGATATATATATATATATATATATGGTGAAATGTTTTTAATCTCTTTGTTAGAAGTTTCTTTCCCATGTGCCCTATTCATTGTAATTTCACGCTACCCAATGCTGTTGTTAATGTTTGTATGGGAGTTTGGATTTCGGTTTGAGATTTGAATAATAAAAATTTTAAATTTAAATAGTTGTATGATGTGATATAAATAGATATTAATGTAATATAAATAGATATTGATGTAATATTTGAATATAAAATTAATTCATAGTATGATATAAAAAAGTGAAAAATAGATGTTTGATTTGATGTTTATGTGGAAATTTTTTTATAAATATGCAATTCACCACTTAATGTGCCAAATGTATTCAAATTAGCATTGATGTGTCTTTCTAAGTGATGAGTAATATACATATAATTATGTTGTATATGTTCTATAAATTATAATTTAAAGGTAAATTGCATTATACTAATAAAATGTACAAATAGAAGAATAAAATGTCTTAACATTTTATACTTTATCAAGGATACGAAAAACATGTTGCCAAGTATACTTTATTTGATCTGCATGCGCCCAAAATCCGAATCTTCATTTTTAAACCCTTGGAATTACAAATATAGTTATTATTTTTTATTATTTTATTTCAAGAAACAGTAAATATACTAAAAAATAATTGTTTTTATCTGATTTTAAAAGTTCTTTTACTGTTCTTTAAGATAAATGAATATATTTGTTTAGAAATGAGTATTATGAAATTTATTTGCAATTTGAGCGCGTGTAAGTAAAAAACTGATAAATAAGATGGCCGAGGAATTAGACGCAGTTTATAAAACCTACACAATTTTAAAAATATTGGGAATTTTACGCAATTTTGTTAAACCAGATATGAATTTTATGAGATTTAGCCAAATAAAAATGATATTCTTTAATGTATACTCAAATTTAGTAATAGGTACCTATTTTTATTTTAAAATTAATTTAAAGCAAATTGTTTTATACTTTATTATAAATGCACAAAATAAAAGAGTAAAATGCCTTGAAGGATTGAATATTTTATTTCAGAGTTTGTAAACTGAAGATGAGTCGGTTGTTAAAAATTTTATCTATTTATTTTATTAAAAAAATTATTTAAAATATTGCATTCTCTTCGTTTATATAATATTTGCATGATTAAATATTTTATTTGTATAATACATATAACATAAGATATTATACAGAATAAAGAAAATACTAGTTATTTTATGCATTTATAATAAAAACATAATGTGATTTATCATTCATTTAAATGTAAAATTATTATTTTAGTCTTATATTTGGCTAATCTCTAATCACAAACACAAATTGATTGTTCTTCTTGGTCGCCATGGTTCCTACTTAATCACAAGACTCAGTTATTATTCTTGTTCTAATCGCACATACTCAGTCATACCCTAATTGCACACTCATATATGCTATTTCTTTCTCGTGTATACATATATTTATATGTAAATATATTTCAATAACATGCATGTATGTCATTTAATCCTTATATATATATCAAAAGCCCTAAGATTATGGCCCCCTTCCTGGGCTGGACCCTGAGCGGTCGCCCTCATGGCCCACCCCAGGAACGGCCCGAATATATGCAATTGGTATCTTATAATTACATCGGTTTATATCACATCATACAATTATTTAAATTCAATTTTTTTACTATTCAAATCTCAAAACTCAAAATCCAATCCCCGAACAAACACACCCTTAATAATTAAGAATCATCTTCCATCATCCAATATTAGGAAACTGATACGATCGATCACACAGTTATTTTACTTGGAAGCTTTTGAATTTAAGGATGCAATCCAGAGCCCGCTCGAACTCGCGGTCTTCCACGGCCACCGTGAACCGGCAGTATCCCGGAATTCCGGTCCACGCCGGGCTGTTAATCAACAGCCCCGTGCTCCTTACAACGGCTTCCCGGATATTCGACTCATCCACCTTCATTTCCTGCATGCCGTCGCCTGATATTTCCATGATTCTCACCGGCTTACCTAAATAGGCAGCCGGCTTCGCTACAACCGATATCCCAGATTGAGCTCCGAGCACTTCCCAGCCGCAACTTTCAAGCATCTGCAGCGAGCAATGCACGATAAGAAAAAACGGCGAATGGTTGGCTATTATGTATTTGAGATATTCCAGATATTTAGTTTTAAATTTAGTAGATTTAAATTTAGACGTATATAAAATTATTTAGATTTGAGTTCGAATCTGTTTTTATGTTGCGAAGATGCATGTGTACCTGCTTCAGTTGTTTGTATCTGCTTCGGAGTATTTCCGTCTGCTTCGAGATTGCATTCGACAGGTCCGTTGTCTTCTTCTCCCGGAGATCTAGCAGATTCTTAACTGCGTATTTAACGGTGCTGTGGGGTTTGCTAAGTCCCCCGAAGCTACGGAAGGTCTCAGCCATGGATGGCCTGTCGATAACAAGAAATCCAAACCCAATCCCGACACTTAGCATCTTGTTAAACAATCCGCCGAGGAGGAAAACACAGAAGTTTGAGTTAGTCGAGGAAAGTTTCGCGAGAGTAGGCTCCAAATTCCAGCCTTTAACTTCTTCGGAGTCGAACTCTGCTCCAGAGAACGAAGTATCGAGAATCACTCGAGCTCCGGACTTAGCACATACAGATAATAACTTATCGATCTCGTCGTTGCTGTATAGCAATCCGGTGGGACTGATGGTTGGACCCGAAATGTAGATCCACGGTTTAGCGACAGTATCTAATGCCCGAGCAAGAGTTTTCTCGGTTAACTTGTATCCGTGCTCTGGATCAGTAGGGATGCTTACGACATTAGCATTCAGAAATTTAGCTGCAGATACGTAATTTCCATTCGATCCGGTCGGGAAGAAGAGTGTCGCCCCCTCGTGGATGCAGCAGAGTATTAGCTTGCTGAGGAGTGCCACTACACTGTCTGCGTAGATGAATTCTGCGTCGCGGTTGGCTGGAAAGCCATAGTTGCTGTAGATCAATTGCTGAATGCCGTGTTTAATGTCAGTTTCGGGCTCTGTTATGTTCTGCCGAGCAAAGCTCTCGAAGATGGCTGCCTTGACTGGAGTTGATATAGGGAGAAAGCTTTGGTCGACGTCCATATGAACAAGTGTGTCGCCATCCGGATCGTCCACTGCTAACTCGGCATGATCGAGTATGGAGAAGGCCGTAGAACTGGCAAAGCCATCATCTACTCCTTGGTTGTCACAGATCCTCTGAAGATAGGAGAAGACGTAAGATATGATCAACAATAATTACAATCGAATCGAAGAAAACAACTGAACTGCACTTTCAGCAATAATCGAGCTTAGAAATGGATTATAACCTGTGGAGCCATATGTCGATCAGTAAGCTGAAACGCTAGAAGCTCATGAAAGATACATCTGTAGTAATACTGACTGATGATCGAAGTGTTTCCTTGTAAAAGCTCCACAGTCTTGCACAGTGCCTTGAACATTGTCTCCTCCTCAGAGATCACAAATGCAACTTCCAAATCCGAATAGACCTGGAATTCGAAGGAGTGTTACATGAGCGTGTAAGTAACTTACCGAAGAAAAAGTGAGACTCGAACAAGAACAAAATCGAATGCCAGGTTTGTGTACTTGATTTTTAAGTAAGCCACAGACAACAGCAGCATGTGAAGGAAGAGTATTTCCGGCAAGATATTTGAAGACGCCGTTGGAACAGGGAAGGCTGGATAGCTCAAAGTGGTCTGAGATATCTAAGAACAGTCGACATCCTATTTCTTTTGTGACATTCAAAAGGTGCTCAAAGGAGGAGCTAGTGACTGACTCGAATTGTGCTATCCCAGTGAACACAACTTCTGGCTTCAGTTTCTTTATCATCTCTATCATCAAATCTGACTGGCATGGAGCTTCGATGACAGTGATAGCTTGTGCTGAACGCATTCCTCTTTCTTTTTTCTGAAAATCGATTTGAAGTTTCAGAAGTGTTTGATTTATACAAATGCAGGTACAATCATGTCGAAGAGGAATAAATGTCTATAACGATCTCAAGGTGTTTGTAAGTGACAATATGAAGTGTTAGTAAGCGACGAATGCAGCTAAAACCATCTCAAGGTGTTTGATAGTTAATTAACCAAAAATAGTAGAGCTTTCTGATTCAATACAATAGAGCTGTGGTATAAAATAAAGGTCATGAAATGCTTTGTCACTTCACAAAATGTAAATCTAAAAGCACATTTTGTCATACAACTCCTTTTAGCTAAGAATATCGAAGACAGGAGGATATAACATATGTATTCGGTATTCATATTCAGATCAGAAACTTTCTGAGAAAGAAAAAGTATTAAGGAAGATCTTTTGATTTAGGGCAATGGAATTCAATCACATAACGACCTTTAAATGTAAAAAGGCATATGAATATTGACTTCTGCAATCAACATACCTCAATGTTAAGGGATGTTATCCATTGCCTTGGTAAATGCCGGGATAATTGTTCATCAACAATGGCGAGTTGCGGAGACAGCAGAAGTAAAGCACTTTCAATTGCCACAGTCCTTGAAGGAAATATGACAACATTCTAGAAAAGCCGAAAGGGGAAAGCAGAGAAATAAATGGCGAAGTATACCAAAAAGAAACAGTAGAACAAAAATTTATTATTACAGTTATGGTATGTTGTTCGGTAACATGATGTTCAGAATGATAGAGATGCAGTGATAATGATAGAGACAATCAAAATACAGTTTGAGAGAGGTTCCTTACATCTGCATGAAGGGGAATATGATGGTATGTTTTCATGAATCTAGCAATCAGACTACGAAGTTGTCTACTCCCAGCAGGCGGTTCGTATGGGAAAAATGAAATTTCTTTCAAAACATCAGCAAGATAAGCAAGGAATGGAATTTTTTCATCGGCAACAGAGTCATCTTCGAAAGAGAGGTCTAAAGAGCTGCTGACATCATCGAATCCATTTTCAAGAAACTTGAATATCTTCTTTACCTGTCACTTCATGCTTATTCTCATGAGGCTTTAGGTTCTCTTGTAACAGAAAAAATACATAGAGAGAAGTCATACCTGAGTAGGTTGACGGAGTTGACAGCTATATACTGATAAAGCATGGGAAATGTGACCTCCAGCTTTGGCATAGGCCCAGGCAGATCGGGCACAGATGGGATGGTCTCCAGCAAGCCCCATGAAGAACTCAAACCGGTGTGGACTGTTCTTCTCAATTTCAACCAATGCTGCAATGTCTGTGTCAGGTGCCTGAAAGAGAAGAAATCAGAACAAAAGTAGTTTCATTCATCCGTTAAAATTAATAACCTTTCAGTAGAACCTGGAGAATTTTTGTCTGCCAAAGCTTGTTAACATGGAGACCACGCCGCTCGAATAAGCGCTTACATACAGCTTGTCCTGGTCGTCCTCCCATATTGAAGATCATAATCCCTGAAGGTTTCATAACTGAAATTCCTTCTTCGACAGCCCTTGCTATTAATCCTAAGCCAAATTGATCTTCAACAAAGCCCTGAGGAGAATAAAAGGAGCTCAAAACAACTAAAAGACAAGTTCTTCTGATTTATGCATGGTGATTGGGGCAGAAGAGAAAATATGATGTTTCAAAATTCTGAACAAATGTCTATTTTGTGCACAACTTTAAAGTAGATATAAAACAATTAAAGAATTTTCTGATCAAACATGAAAATTCCAGCATACCTGGAGGCGAACTTACTACCATATTTTGTTTGCATGAATTCAATATATACCGGAAACCTATAATAATTTTAATGGAGGAGATTAAAAAGTCTGTATCAGTTAGCAATAAAACTATCTCAGCGAAAGAATCAACTCTCAGTGGAAAAGGACAAAAAGACAACTCATATAGGATCCTTAGAATGGGAAATCTGGCTGTTCTACACCATCATATAGATTTATCAATAAATTATTCACATCGCTTACAAAGCCAGCATTGCTAGGCCTAGCTGAATTAGGGAGGATGACAATCGGCCAGGCCCATTGCCTTGTGCTATGTTAATGAAGTCTTTCAAGTTAGTTCGGCTGTAGGATTGTTTTGGGGCATAGGTTGCATCATTTGATTGAGTCCTAATTAGGGAGTGGGTGTGTGTAAGGATGTTTGGCATCTAAGGGTAATATCACTTGATTGAGTCCTAGATTATTAAGGGTTTAGGGTTTAGGGAAGGATTCATTCATTCAGTGGTTCTGAATTTTCGACCTTTAACTTGAAACAGGTTCTCCCTATAGTATATAGTGTGATTCTTTCAATTAAATTGGATTCACTTTCTATCACATCACAATATAAAGATATTGAGAAACCATACACTTGAGTGCAAAGCATTCAAAACATGTTATAAACTAAGCAACACTTATATTCGACAATAAGGTGAAGTTACAAAAATTGTAGCTAACCTGGAGGGCACAATAGTTACTCAGAGCATGTAAGAATTCTTCACTAGCATTCTCAGTTATAATTTTGGACATCGCATCTGGATTGGGATTAAGAATCTGCATATCATAAAATGAGAATGATAAGGACATTGAAACAGTCTCATCATAGAACTCTAACATACAAATGTTGGGACAATCACACAACATAGGAACATAATATTTTCCATTGAATGATGATTACCTGTGGTATGCAGCCAACGATTCGCTCAAGTTCTATCTGATTGTCACTGCAGTATGACAATAGATCAGATTCGTGAAACCCGACCCTATCAAGCAAAGTCTTTTTCTCCTGATCATATATAGGTTGCCCCTTCTCATCCAAAGCATTCAAGTACAAATTTATCCAAGAAATTTTGACTGCTCGTGGATTGATATCAAGTCCATACACCTGCAAAGTGGTAGCTGAGTGCATTAAGAAACCATTGCCTACTTGTCAAGCAAGGACTAATAAACATGGTAACCATCAGTAGCAAATAGAAATAGGAAACCAGGGACCTTTGAGGGTAACCATTTCTCTGCCATCGCAATGGATATCCATCCATTCCCACAACCAAGCTCAGCAACTATTTTGTCCTTGAAATCAGAATCAGGATGTCGGTTTAGTCCCTCATAGAACGTGAAGGACCAATCCTCTGGCATAAATATACTGGGTATGACAATCATAGGGAGTTTCTTTCTCTTCTGGAAACCTGTAACATTAAATCATCTTACCAGAGCAACCAAAACATACTTAAAACTGACCTAGTGCAACCAAATTGAGCAACAAAATGTTTCAACTAAATCCATAAACACAGAAGCGTATTATAATTTAATTTTAAAAGATGAAAAGCATATGGTCATAACAGATAATTAAACACTGAAAAACACCAGCCAAGTAGATGCAGAAGATACACATGGAATACAAAAAGATATCAATCAAAGGATGGTTGGTCTTTGCTTGTGTTTTATTAATTTGAAATTCAAAAGTTTACCACTTCGATGTAGCCTTTGTAAAACAGAACTGAGGTTACATCTTTATGAAGAGTTAATGACTATCACAAAGCAATCTTCCAATCATCTGATCGATTTCTATTACGAAAAATTTAAACCCCAGCTCATACTCAGTCCCAGTGAACTTAACGTTCAACTAAATTCGGAAGAGGACGCTATAAGATGCTGATTTTGAAGTCGTTAAATAGTATAATTACCATTCCTTGAATTTGAATAGGTTTTGATCTATTGCATCAACTGATTATAACGATATTTATTCCGAATCCAAATCACAGTTTAAAAATTAAAAGAGAAAGACAGGAAACTAATCAGTCCAGTGTGGGTACATAAAAAATTAGCTGTAGTCTGTTCTGCGGCTGCTACTGTAGCATTTTGTAATAATTTCAAAGAATCCAAAACAGGAACAAATAGAATTCTGTGTGTGATCAATAAAGGTGAAATTTCAAACAGGATCCGTGAAGTTTACGTGACAATTCTTCAACTTTTGAAAAAGGCATGTCCGCTTCCATTCTATCATCGAGTAATTTTAAAAAACCAATGAACGGAAAACCCCTCAGCATTTTCCGCCCAAAATTTCAAAAAATATCGCCTAAAATCAGAACCAAAAGCCACAAAATCCGCCCACACACGCGCGAGATGAACTCACCAATCGCGTCAACGCACGCACGTTAAACGTACACATACCTGCATACTGCTCGAGATACACCTCCTGAATTTGGAAATGGTAAGTCTGGAGACACTGCTCGGAGGCGTTTCTCGACTCGAAGCGTCTCTGAAGCTCCGCAAGGAAGATCCGAGTTTCGGTTCGGGTAATCGGATCCTCGAGAAGTTCAAGGAGTGATCGGAGCTCAGCGTAGGCGGCGTCGCCGGAGTGCTGGCACCGCTTGAGGAACTCCTCGACCGATCCCAGCGCGCCACTTGCTCTGCCCATAGCTCTCGGTCAACTGCTTCCTCCCGCGCAGAGACAACGACGCACAGTCTCCTTCACTCCCCAGAGAAGAAACCACTCGGCAATGGCCTTTGCTGTACTGCTACCAACTAACTACCTGTGTCTGTAGTCTGTAGTCTGTAGTCTGTACTATACGTATGTATGTATACATATATATATAAAATATTCCCAACACGTTCTTATAATAGATTTGTTACATTAAAATATAAAATTTGCATGTGACAACATATTACGAACCTCGGTTCATATGTTTGGTGAGTGTTCTTACAAGTTTTGGGAGTTCAAGCCTCCGTTTTGGATCGATCCATGGTTTTCCAAAACTTTTTTAATTTTAAAAACCAGCACTATTTGTTTCTTTTTGCAAGTATAGTTTGGACACCGGATTTAAGAAATATTATATTATATTAGTTGTTGGTAAAAAGCATGATAAATAATTTTTTGTTCTTGTGAGTATATTAGTGTAAAAAGTAGTGACAATTGTATAATAATAATAAAAAATAATGCTAGTTTTTACCGTGATATGATTATTTATGGAAATAAGATTATTGTTTTGGGACCAACAAAAATGATAAACAAGACTGTTATATTGGGACGGACGGAGTATATTTTAATATTAGTATCGTATTAATTTGTAATTAAAAAGATAAAAATATCATGTTAGTATGTGTAATAGTATAAAAATAATATTTTCTCCGTCCAGTTATAAAGTATACGTATTTATATTTTGGGACGTACAATTATAAAGTAACCATTTCATTAAATACCCTTTTTTTTTTTTTTCCACAAATACCCTTACTTTACATCACATCATTACTTTTATACCAAAAAATAAAGGCAAAAATATTATTATACTACTTTTACCTATCAACTATAATTAAAATATTATTATTTCTTAAACTCCGCGCCAAAAAGTAAATGTATACTTATTGTTTGGACGGAGGAAGTAGTATTTATATAATATATTGAACATTGTAATAATATTTCTTATGTTAGGTAGATTGTAAAATTATTAAATTAAAAAATGATATTTGAATTTAAGATGAACAAAAATAGAAAATAATAGTATCATTTCATTTGATGATCGAACTAGCTTCCCGACTCGGGAGGGAAGGGGGGAGCAAAATTATTATGTGGATTTTTTTTTACTATATTTTTAAAATTTTAATATACTTAAATTTTCAATTTTTTGTTTTATTTTATAAATAATTTGACTTTTTTTATATGAAAGAAAAAAATAAAACTGTAAGAACTAATTTTTTCCTTCACTTCGATTTTGAGTTACTTTATCTCATTTGATTCCCCTTGCTATTATAATGAATCATAAAAAAGAAAAAAAATATAATATAACTATAGTAATATTTGAAATAAAAAATTATATTTTTTATATGAATATTTATAATTAAAATTATTATATAGTATTGTAAATTAAAATAATAAAATAAAAGATAAATAGAGTAAAAAATTTGGATTGAATAAGGCAAAATTATATAATTGAATTAAAAATTTTACAAATAGTAAAAATATTAAATATTTAATAATTTTTTTAAAAAGAAATATTTTAAAAAAATTATTAAATATTGCGGAAACTTTTAGGGTGTGTTTATTTATGCTATTTTTATTTAACTATTTCAAAAAAAGAAAAAATTTTAAAAAAAATATCTAATCAACCATCTACTTTTTATTTATTATATTACATTAAAATTTAATTTTATATTTAAAATATCATATTAATATATATTTATATCATATAAAATAACTATTATAATTTAAAATTTTATTATTTAAAATCTGTCAATAAATAAAATCGTATTATATATAATATAAATATATATTTTTTAATATATATGTATAATATAAAGAAACTATGGATTTAATGTAATACTTCATCCGTCTCGTAAAATTAGTCCAATTTTCATTTGTTGACAATCCCATAAAAATTAGTCACATTTCTTAATATAATAATAATTAGTAAATACTAATTACAATTATAAATTTAACTATATTTAATTCAATTACTAATATCTCTAATTTTTATTGTTTGTTTTATTTTAAATTTAAAAGTAGGGTTAGAATTTTGGATAATAAAAATTAATAAATATTCAATATGATATAAATAAGCAATTATGTGATGTCTAAAATTTTTAATTAAGTTTTAATATTATACAAAAAATATTTGATTTGATATTTTACGATTGAAAATTAATTAATAACGAAATTTGATTTAGAATTTGATTTTTATATTTCATTAAAACAATTCATTTATCACTAAGATTGAAAAATATAAATTTGCTCAAATAACGCAGGCACTGTATGAAAAAATACTAAAGTGTCAAAAATTATTGTATATCGTAAATTTTTATATGGTATGATACCGTATCGAACATTTTCAGTACGACAATTGCATATACTTTTAGCATTGTTGGTTTAATATATACTGAAAATATCAATATAGTTTAATATTTTAGTATTTGATATATCGATCTATATCAATAATTTAGTATATTGATACTAAAATAATTAATCTTCTAATATATTCTTAAAATTGTAATATTATTTTTATTTTTATACATTTATAAATAAGTCATTATGTGTTATATTTTAATAGGTTAAAAAAGAATCAATTGAGGTGGCAGGCCATCTATAATGCGACCATTGTGTTTATTTTTTTTTTTTTATTTTTTTTTTATTTTTTTTTATGAGCATTATGAATTCATTTGGTTGTATTTTAAAATTAAATTTTATTTTATTATTATTATTTTTTTATATATAAATAGCATTACCTTCGTCCCACGTATCGTGTTTGTTACACTGTAGACACGGTATTTTAGGAGATATGTAATTAGTAGATAATTAAAAATGTATTAGTAAAAATAATTATTTTATAATATAAATAATCATTAATTAAAATTAAGATAACTAATTAGTTTAATTAAAATTTTAAAAAAAATAAACTTAAAAAGTGTAAAATAAGATTAAAATGTATAATCATTTTCCGAAAAAGGAAAGTAATATGGTATATAGAACTGACAAAAACGACAACGTGGACATAGTACGTGTGACGGAGAGAGTAATACTTTTTATTTGAAATAAAGAAAAGAACAACGCCTTATGATTAACCCCACTATGAAGCTTCAAATGTGCCTGTATTTTATTCCATGCCATGCACCTTGCATATAATATTTATATATATATATATATATTTTATATATATTTATTAGGTGCACTGCACATTCAATAACATAATATATACTCCCTTAGTCCCATATATTATGACCGAATTTCTCTAGCTACAGGAATTTAGATAAAGTATAATTAGTAAGTAATTAAAAAATGTATTAGTAAAAATAATTATAAATTAAAATTAAGATAATTAAATAATTTAATTAAAATTTAAAAAATTATAAAATTTAAAATTGAAAATAAAATTAAAATGTATAATTATATTTTTAAAAAATAAATTGACAAATTATATGAAGTGGAGGAAAATAAAAAATAAAAACGCATATAAATGTGTTAAATGTTAAAGTTAGTAGAGTAATAATGAAGGTCTAATATAGTTTAGTAATATCAGCCACTCATATGTAAAGTCTCTCACATGATGTGTCTTAATTAAATATCATGAAATCCTCTCAACCATCTAAAAATTTACTCATACTTTTGGGAATAAATTTTAATGTAAATAGATCATAATTGATATTTTATTTTTTTATAATAATAAAATAAAACAACGAAAAGTAGATATAATATTTTATTAAAAATACAAATAAAAAATTAGATCACAAATAAATAAATAAAAAAAAAACTAAATATAAATTTCGTTGACAAGGGAGTACATAAATATATACTTATATCTAATATGCTGTTTAAGTATAATAGACATGTTTTCCTATTTAATAAATATAGATTCATAATATATGTATAAATAGATTTATAATATTAATAAAATATTTCATTATTTCATATAAAAAAATATCAAACCATCTATAGATATGAACTCCACTTTAATAGTATTTTCGGGTGTATATTTTGTGAGATAATTTGAATATATATTTTTTTAATATAAAGTATAAAAAATGGTATAAAAAATATAAAATTAATAAATATGTGATATATTAATTTTTTGAAAAAATACATTTTTATTTTTAGTTGGAAGAACACACGTTTATCTTTAAATACTTATACTATACTATAAAATATTAAATACTATTATTTTTAATTAATATAAAAACATGAAATATATTTATAAATAAGCGACTGAATAAATATATATTTATAATATTTAAAAATTATTAATTATTCAAAATATTATACCATTATATCAATTTGATTTTTTCTTTTTTTACTACTAACAAATAATAAATTATATATCAAACTTCCATCCAAACTATTGGATTTCAAAAGAATTTCAAATTGTATATAAAATGACGAAATTATATGCATCATATAAAAATAGATATATTCAAATAATAACAAGGTAAAAATGCACGAAACTTATACGTGGTTTAGGTAATTGTACGAAACACCTCATAGTTTATAAATTGTATCAAATATTTTTGTAATTTTAAAAAACCTGCAAGTTCGCTCTTCAGTGTCAATTTTAAATATAAATTTTTCGTTATGCCCTTAGTATTTTAACCGAAGCTGTAAATTTTTAAAAACCCTTACGCGTTCCTCACCCCACTGCGTTCTTCACCCGACGACGAACAAGTCTGAAAAAAAGAGAAACAACCGTCCATGTCATTTTATGTGTTTTTTTTTTTTTGTTATATTGAACGATTGTAGTGGTTGGAGCGATTTTGGCGACAAACATGACCCTGTCGCGATTTCCGGCGAAGGAGGAAAGATATTCGGAATCAGAGTTTTTCCAACGAGATATCGTGTAAAGTTTGTAATTTTTCAGTAATTTTGAAGATTTAATTCAATAGAGTAGTGTTGGATTGATTTTTTAGTGTTAGTTTTCTCGCTTGGTCTATGATTTTAGGTTCTTAATATTTTGTTCGATTTGGTGTTTTAAAACCAAAAATCCTTGTCTAAGTAAGTGTTGGGACCAAAACTTCTACCGGTTTTATACTATTGAGATAAATTGACAAAGTTGTCAAATTTCCAACTGATGGTGA